GGTTAGCCTGGTGATGGGTATTAAAGAGGGCACATTCTGCATGGAGCACTGGGTGTTATGCACAAACAATGAATCATGGAACACTACGTCAATAACTAATGATGTAATGTATGGTGATTAACATAACAATAAAAAATTATTTAAAAAAAAAGAACATAGGTGGCAAGTACTTGCCTCTGACAAACAATATAATAGATTAAAAAAATCAATGCAAATATAAATCCTAATATACTTTTTAGAAAAAAAAAAGAAAAAAAAAGAAGCAGCAGGAGGGGAAGAATGAAGGGGGGTAAATCGGAGGGGGAGACGAACCATGAGAGATGATGGACTCTGAAAAACAAACTGAGGGTTCTAGAGGGGAAGGGGGTGGGGGGATGGGTTAGCCTGGTGATGGGTATTAAAGAGGGCACATTCCGCATAGAGCACTGGGTGTTATGCACAAACAATGAATCATGGAACACTGCATCAAAAACTAATGATGTAATGTATGGTGATTAACATAACAATAAAAAATTTAAAGAAAATAAAAGATTATATGCTGATGTGAAAAGGTTTTCAATATACATAATTAGGTTTTTTTAAGAAGTGGAGAGTAGGAGGTATAATATGATCCCTGATTTATAAGTAAATACAGCAAAATTGCACATATATAACATATATATACACACACATACATACAAACACACATCACTGGCATGTGCACAAATTATTTTTGAGGAATTACTAAAAAAAATCAATGGGCAGTGGCTATAGGTAGAGGCTGTTTAAGAGGGAGACTGTCATATTTCATATTTCATTATGTATGTTTCTCAATATTCCAACTTGTATAACTACATATTTTTATTACTATATTTTTAAAGACAACAGGTGTTATCTGAGGAGAGATATTTATGGCCATTTTAACTATCTATCTGAATTTTTAAATAAAACTAACAAACATTATCATATAAAAATAGTTCTAAAACTACATAAAAAGAATGATTCAAATTGTATTTTTTTCATTTCATCTATCTTTATAAATAGCTATATAAAGAAGCACCTGGGCGGCTCAGTCGGTTAAGTGTCCGACTCTTGGTTTTGGCTCAGGTCATGATCTCGGGGTAGTGAGATCGAGCCCCCCATCAGGCTCTGTACTCAGCTCAGAGTCTGCCTGAGGATTCTCTCTCTGCCTCTCCCTCTGCCCCCCTGCTCAGGTGCTCTCTCCCAAAATAAATAAATCTTTAAAAAATCTATATAAAAAGATGCCTTAATATATATGAATTAAGAGTCCTTGTCATTATAGCATAGGTTAAGAGGGCATGCTATGGAATCAAAGTGCCTGGGTGCAAATCCCCAATGTACCATTCCCTATGTGCCACCTATTTCCAAGCTCTGTGATGTTGGGCCACTCAGTTAACCGCTCTGTGTCTCATTTTTTCAGTTACTAAAAGGCAATAATAATACCATCACTCTAAAAGCCTTGTAAGCCTTTACATGAGCACATGTAAAGGACTCTCTACTCTTACTACTACAACCTAGTAAGCACTCCATCCTATATCTATGCAACTATAATTGCAACCATGCAATTCTCTACATTTGCAATTATAATCATTACCACCATTATTAGAATATTTTTCAAGTAATTGCATTCTATAATATAGGTTACTGTTCTCCCCATTCCTTATCAACTTAGTGTATTAAGTGCACCTGGACCAATGTAAATGAACTAGGTGAAAATAAAATCAGAAAATGATAAAAAAAAAAAAAAGAAATTGAAAATTCCGTTATCTTTCTTACAGTAATATTCTGCACTACAAAGTCAGGAGCTTCATCATTCGTGGGGTTGATGATAACGTAAAATGGTATCTCCAAGGAGCGTCGCTTCCCATCTGTGACATACACCATGAACTGGTCAGCTGTTGGTTCCATCCTCAGATGCTTGGCCTGCACATAGTTAATATGCAAAGCCTTCATGTCTTTCCACCGGAACGAAGCTAGAGCACACCAACATGGAGCAGGTAAATAAGAAAAACATTTTTTTTCCAAGCTACTGGTTCTTAATCCTTAACCCAATAGCTTATTTCTCAGAAAAGCAAATAAGAGATCATGGCAGTTGACCTAAGAATCAGCTATCAGGGGTTGCTATAATGTCTGTCAGCCATCAACATAAAAACAGATATCCATAAATCATAAGGAAGGATTACAATTTGCACAGAGAACAGAAGGGGGATAACTGCTAACCAGAATGTGTAGGGACTTCATGACTGTTCTTTATATAGTTGGAATAAAGGTAAGAGAGACCTTCCCTTGATTAAAACCACTGCCCCCATATAAATAGTTCTTGGCATGCTTGAGTAAGAAAGAGACTATCTCTTTCATACAAAGGCAAAACAAGAGTCAGTCAACCATCTGCCTACTTGACGTACACATCAAGCGACTGGTTGGATTGAATGGAATTAGCTGACCTGCTGTTTTGGTATTTTGACATTGCCCTAAATCAAAAGAGAAAAATGCTCTATGTTGAGCATTAAGTCACAGGCCAAACTGCATACCTTTAATGCAATAAATCTTTTCCCCCCAGCTTTATTGAGCTATAACTGACATATAGCATTGTAAGTTTAAGATTTAGTTAACACATTATCCACCTCACGTGATTACCATTTTGTAGTTTTTATAGTGAGAACATTAAAATTCTACTCTCAAATCAACTTTCAAGTATACAATATAGCATTAATTATAGTCACCATGCTGTACCTTAGCTTCCTGGAAATTATTCATCTTATAACTAAAAGTTTGTACCCTTCAACCGGCAACTCTCCATTTCTCCCACCCTTCAGCCCCTGGTAACCACTATTCTACTCTGTTTCTATGAGTTCAATGGTCTTAGATTCCACATATAAGTGAGATCATACAGTATTTGTCTTTCCCTAATGTATTTCACTTAGCATAATGCCGTCAAGGTCCATATATGTTGTTGCAAATAGCAGGATTTCCTTCTTGTCATGGCTGAATAATATTCTATTATGTATTTATATCACATTTTCTTTATCCATTCATCCATCAGTGGACACTTAGGTTGTTTCCATGTGTTGGCTATTGTGAATAACGGTGCAATGAACATGGGAGTATCGATATTTCTTTGATATCCTGTTTTCATTTCCTTTGGATATATACCCAGAAGTGGAATTGCTGGATCACATGGTAGTTCTATTTTTAATTTTTTGAAGAATCTCCATAGTGGCTGTGCCAATTTACAAACCCACCAACAGTGCACAATGTTATCTTTTCTTCGCATCCTCGCCAGCATTTGTTACTCTTGTCTTTTTGATAAGAGCTGTTCTAACAGATGGGAGGTGATACATCTTTGTGGTTTAGACTGGCATTTCCCTGATGATGAGTGATGTTGAGCACCTTTTCACATACCTGTTTGCCATTTGTTTGTCTTCTTTGGAGAAATGTTTATTCAAGTCTTCTGCCCATTTTTAAATCAGATTATTTGGGCTCCTTTGCTATTAAGCTGTAAGAGTACCTTATACATTTTAGGTATTAATCCCTTATCAGATATGTGGTTTACAAATATTTTCTCCTATTCCACAGTTGCCTTTCCATTTTGTTGATTGTTTCTTTTGCTCTGTAGAAGTTTTTTAGTCTGATATGGTCTTACTTACTTCATTGATTTTTGCACTTGTTGCCTTTGCTTTTGGTGTCAAATCCAAAAAACCATTGACAAGACGAATGTCAAGGAGTTTACCACCTATGTCTTCTTGTAGGAGTTTTATGATCTTGGGTTTTACATTCAAGTCTTTAATCTATTTTGAGTTCATTTTTTTGCATGGTGTAAGATAATGGTGCATTTTCATTCTTTTGCCTATGGTTGTCCAGTTTTCCCAACACCATTTATTGTCCTTTTCCCATTGTATATTCTTGGCTCCTTTGTCATAAATTAAATGACCATATATGAGTGGACTTACTTCTTAGCTCTCTATACTGTTCTATTGAGCTACATGCCCGTTTTTATGCCAACACCAGTTTTAATTAATATAGCTTTGTAATATAATTTGAAATCAGAAAACATGACAACTCCAGCTTTGTTCTTTCTCAAGATTGCTTTGGCAACTCAAGGTTGCCATAGAAATTTTAGGACTGATTTTTCTATTTCTGTGAAAAATGTCGTTTGAATTTTGATAGTGATTACCTTGAATGGGTAGTATGGCTTTGGGTAGTATGGACATTTTAACAACATTAACACTTTTGATTCACGAATACCTTTCCATTTGTTTGTGTCTTTTTCAATTTCTTCCATCAAGATTTCAAGTCTATGTCTTCCAGTTTTTGGTGTATAAATCTTTCACTTCCTTGGTTAAACTTACTCCTAAGTATTTTATTGTTTTTGATGCTATTGTAAATGAAATCATTTTATTTCTTTTTCAGGTAGTTCATCATTGATGTACAGAAATACAACTGATCTTTTTATGTTCATTTTGTATCCTAAAACTATTTAATTTGCTGACTTGTTCTAACAGTTTTTTGGTGAAATCTTTAAAAAATTTTTTTACATATAACATCACCCCCAAACAGAGCCAATTTTACTTCTTCCTTTTATTTTTATGTCTTTTATTTCTTTTTCTTGCCTAATTACTCTGGCTGAGACTTTCAATACTATGTTGAATGGGAATGGAAGGAGTGGGCACACTTGTTTTGGTCCTTATCTTGGAGAGTAAGTTTTTAACTTTTCACTGTTGAGTATGATGCTAGTTGCGAATTCGTCATATATGGCTTTTATTATGTCAAGATACCTTATTTCTATACCCAATTTGTTGAGAGTTTTTATCATAAAACATTGTTGAATTTTGTCAAAAGCTTTTTTAATATCTGTAGAGATGATCATAGAATTTTTGTCTTTTCTATCAATGTGGTGTATCACATTTATTGATTGGCATATGTTGACCATCCTTGCATCCCAGGTATAATTTCCTTTTGATCATGGTGTATGATTCTTTTAATGTGCTACTGAATTCAGTTTGTTAATATTTTGTGGGGAATTTTTGCATCTATATTCTTCAGGGATATTGGTCTGTGGTTTTGTTGTTGTTGTTGTTGTTTTTTTATAGTATCCTTACCTGGTTTTGGTATCAGGGTAATTCTGGTCTTATAAAATGAGTTTGGGAGTTTTCCTCCTATTCAGTTTTTTGCAAGAGTTTTACAATAATGTTAATTCTTCTTTAAAAATTTGATAGAACCTGTAAAGACATCTGGTCCTGGCTTTTCTTTGTTAGAGGTTTTGAATTACTGATTAAATCCCCTTACTTATTATTGGTCTATTCAGGGTTTCTAGTTCATGATTCAGACCTGGTAGATTGTATGATTCTAGGAATTTATCCATTTCTTTTAGGTTGTCTAGTCGGTTGATGTATAATTGTTCACAGTAGTCTCTTATGATCCTCTGTATACCTGTGATATCAGTTGTATTATCTCTTCTTTCATTTCAAGTTTTATTTATTTAAGTCCTTTTTCATGGTAAGTCTAGGTGAAGGTTTGCCAATGTTGTTTATCCTTTTGAAAGACCATGTCCTAGTTTCATCAATCTTTTCTACTGTTTTTCCAATCTCTATTTCACTTATTTTTACTGTGATCTTTGTTGTCTCCTTCTTTCTGCTAACTTTGGGCTTATTTTCTTAATTTTTCTAGTTCCTTGAGTTATAAAGTTAGGTTGTTTATTTGAGATTTTTTTTTTCTTTTTTAATGGAAGCGTTTGTCACTATAAGCTTCCCTCTTAGCATTGCTTTTGCTGCATCTTAGATATTTTGGTATGTTGTGTTTCCATTTTTGTTTCAAGATTTTGTTTATTTTTTACAGTTTTATTAAGAAATAATTGACATACATCACTGTGTAAATTTAAGGTGTAGAGCATGATGGTCTGATTTACATATATTGTGAACTGATTACAACAGATTCAGCTAACATCCATCTTCTCATATAGATCTGATTAAAAAAAGAAAGAAAAAAAAGGAAAAGAAATTTTCCTGTGATAAGAATTCAGGATTTTTTAAAAATTTCATCTTTGACCCACTGGTTGCTCAGGAGTGTCTTAAATTACACACATGTGTGAATTTTCTACTTTTCCTTCTGTTACTGATTTTAATTTCATACTATTGTGGTCAGAAAAGATAGTTGGTATGATTTTACTCTTTTAAAATTTGCTAAGACTTGTTTTGTGATGTATCATATGATCTATCCTGGAGAATGTTCCACACGTACTTGAGAAAAATGTGTATTCTGCTTTTGTTGGATGGAATGTACTGTGTATGTCTACTGGGTTCATTTGGTCTAATATACAGTTTAAGTCCACTGTTCCCTTGTTGATTTTCTGGCAGATGATCTATCCACTGTTGAGAGTGGAGTTCTGAAGTCCCCTACTATTATTGCATTGTTGGCATTACTTCCTTCAGATCTGTTAGCATATGCTTAATATTTTAAGGTGCTCCAATTTGTATGCATATAATTTTACAATTGTTATATTGTCTTGATGAATTGACCCCTTTATCATTTTACAGTAACCTATGTCTCTTGTTATAGTTTTGACATAAAGTCCATTTTATCTGTTATAAGTACCCCTTCTCTCTTTTGGTTTTCATTTGCATGAAATATTTTTTTTCATCCCTTCATTTTGAGCCTATGTGTGTCCTTGAAGCTGACATTAGTCTCTTGTAGGCAGCATGTCGTTGGGTCTTGTTTTTTTCTATCCAATCAGTCATTCTATTAATTCAATTAATCTTAAACCTTTAAACTGGATATGCCCCAAAAGATGCTTAAAGAATCATCTAGTTCATTTATTTCTAAGGTGTTGTCTTTGAATAAATAAATAAAGTGTTGTATTTGAATAATTTTGATTTGGGTGTCTGTTTTTGTTTCAGTTGTTATTGCCTGAAATACAAGGGCTATTTAAATATCTGAGATACATTTTGGTTCCAAAATTTAAAGTCATCACCTTCAACATTTCAGGCTCTCTCTGTTACACCCATGATACACATCCTAATCTTTTCTGCCAATGTCTATTAAAAGTGCTAAAAGATTAAGAGAAGGAGATCTATAAGCTCCCACCAGATTTATTCTATCACAGTATTCTGTGTTGCTCTGAAGGTCTTTTAAAACATTCTTTCTTACATATTTATTCTTACAGTTTTCATAAGTGAAATTTCCATTTAGTTTGAAGTAAACTCCCATACGTGGGGCAATTCAAAATAGAAAATTAAAATGCAAAACAATAATATTCAAAAGTATCCACTATAATAATAATTCCTTGAGTGTACGTAGTGCTTTGAACCTTTCTGAAGTTCCTACTCAGTCATTAAGCATGATCCGGCCGGTTGGATCCATAGACATAGGCAAGTTATCACTGATCAGGAAGCCATGACTCACCTATGCTTATGCCCATATTGCTTTTTTCAAAACCTGCAGAAGGAAGCGTGTTCTCAAGGTAGCCAAACTGGGGAGGAGAAACCAAAACAAATTCCAAGTCGTCTGCTGCAGTGTCAGGGTCAGTGGCGGACAAATGGTTAATGGTAACGGCTGCAGAGAAACCCTCATCTACCACGAACATGGTACCTGCATGCAAACAACAACGCACTTATGACTTAGCGTGAAATCCTCTAATCAGAATAGCGAAGACAAAAGGGAGTGATTGCAATTCCAATTCAGAGAAGCCACCCATATGCAAATATACTTCCATGGGAGATGTTCATTTCCTTTGGCATAATTTCTCCTTACAGTGAAAATATTCAGGGGTAATGGGTGGAATTTAATTTGACTTGTGGAATTATATTTTTTTTCTTGTACAAGCAAGCCAGACAATAATGGAAAGACAGCAGAAATACTAAATGCTCTAGCACAGCCCTTTAGTCATTCTCAAGGAACTCTGATTTCCCTCGTGTCTCTATAGAAGTGACAAATGAAAATAAGAATTGCCAAACTGTTTTAATGATAAGCCACTAAATGTAATTTATGTACTCTTCAAGATCAGTTGTTACCTCTGTTTGTCAGAGCGTTAATTGCCTGCGAGCTATTATGAATTGCTCATAACGAACATTTTTTCATGCTTGGTGCTTAATTATTCTGCAGGGATAATGCTTCCTTTCCAGAACATTGCTTGGGAGATAGTTTGCAAATTACAATAACATCCATACATATGCTTGTATTTTTTTTCTAAGAGACAGAACATATACATAATGCCTTTTAAGCCATGACTTTCTAAATAGCAGATAAGGTTAAATGTATATAAATGGTCTCTCTGGTATTTTCATTCTGCTCTAATAGAAACTATTATGGATAAAATAAATTACTCTCTCTCCAGCAAGCTAATGATAGTTTCCCACGTGAAATAAAACCAGAATATTTGAGGATTCCAGTGCTGTCTTCATCCCAACACACACACACTCACTCACTTGCAAACACACTTGCATTCTCTATCCATACAGAATTACCCACATTTTTAAACAAATAAATTCTTCTGCCTTGTAATCTTTTATAAATATGGAGTTTTCCATAAGTTGTCTGGAGGCAATTCTCGCAGGCAATTCTGCATGGTAGTTTTCCATTTTAACTATAATTCAAGTGCATTATTTCACTAAACCACAGGTATGACACGAGATGAGATAATGGAACTATAATAGAAAAAAACATGGTCACCTATCGCAATTGAAGGTGATTGGTTGTCCACTGGATGTACCGTGATATTGAGGTCATACACTGGAAAGGACTCATGAAGAGGAACAGATGGATGAGGCCCATTGTAGCAACAGCCATTCACAGAAGGGCCAGCTTCTCCATCCGAAACCACCAATGTAATGGCATCAAAACAAGGCACCAGGCCAATCTCACCACCTGGAAGACACAACTATAGCTGAAACCTGACTTTTTAAAAGTAGAGAATACTAAGATGAAATCTACCTACACCTCTTCTATAAGCAAGAGTGGCGAGGAAAGGATCTTAGGTGGCTAACATGTAAAACTCAGCTTGATCACTATGAAAGGAAATAGTCATGAAAATAATGAAAAAATGCTTGCCCATCTGTTGCCTCTGGTGAAATCCTTGACAGCCATCTCTCACCACATGGAGGGGCAAAAGGGGCTAACAAGGGTCTGACAGTTCACAAATGAACAAGGGAGAGGCACAAAGCTTGACTAGTGATGGTTTCATTCTTCCTGCCTAATTGTTCAGTGTTAGGACCAACCTCAGGGAGAGCAGAAGGCACCCCTGTCCTTCCAAATGCGTTGTCTTCCCATTTACATTAACTACCTTAAATGAACAACCATCAACCACACCACCACAGTGAGGAGAAACAGAAGAAGTTGGGAAGGTGAAATAGAAAGACAAGCCACATTTTTGTCATTCGTTTCAATATTTTCCTCATTATATAATAGCCAACGTTAGCAAAATAGCAACAGGACACGGGGAAAAAGTGGCATTTATTTTTGTTTTCCTTTTACTCTTTAGGGCTATGCATATGGGATTTAATACGGCCCCAGCTGAAGCAGTGAGAGGAAGAAGGAAAAAAGTGTCAGATTAGACAGTTTATCAGCAAACTGGCCTATCTGCTCTTGGGTTACTAACAGCACGGAGGTAGGTCGACTGTCCAGAGGACATAAAAGTTCTGCAGATGTGCTTTTGGTAATTCTCATGCATCATCTTGAAAGCACCAAGAGGGAAGCTATTTTGTTTGAGTTTTGATGAGACGAGAGCACAAAAGATCAGGGAAGTCATCTCTTTTCACAAGACACGTTGGTCAAATCTACACAGTACTGTGCTTGGCATTATTCTACCCACTTAATGACAAGGAAAATCAAGAGATGATATTACTGAGCAGTCAAATGATTGAAGAACGAGAAAACTGGGCTCATAAGAAAAAATAAAGTTGACGTGGAGAGAATTAGAATTAATAATCAGCCTTTAACTTTAGGAGCAGTAAAAAATAAGATGCTTCTTATCTATTCATATTTATAAAAAATATATTGGCATAAAGCTCATTTATTCCTCATTCACTTAATATATATTATTTAATGGCTCCTATGTGATCATTAGTGTTCTGGGTGCTACAGCAGAGAATCAGGCAGACATTATGAAAGCGTCAAAAGACAGTTCAAAAGAATGTCAAATGCCAAAAGACCTATTATGTGTCAGGCACTGACACAATCTAATGGTCGAGAAATAAATGCAGTTTGGTTATAGAATATCACAGGTGTGTGTATGTACTAAGACAAACCATATGAAACTGCCACCGTTAAGTCATTATTTTACCAGTTAAATGGAAAATTCATGTATCTCAGCCTGAATATGTACAAGGGGCTGAGGGTGAAGAAAGATGAAAGTCTTGGTGGACAGGGGCATGGGGGCAGGGCACACATGGCAGAGAGAGTCAGAGAAGTCTTTCCAGATGTCTCTGCTTGCTTTACACTGAGCATTAAATGATGAGTAGTTTACCAGGCAGATGAGGCAGAGAACTGGGATGGAAGAAGGAGGACCTGCGGGGAGAGGGAGCCAAGAAGAGAAGTGGAAAAATCATTCCAGGAAGAGTAGACAGCTTTTTTAAAGAAAAAAGAAAAAAAAAAAAGCAAACATAGTATCTTCGGTAACTATAATTTTAATATAATGGAAGCGTTACATTTACAGAAAAGCTGGAAAACCAGGCTGAACATCTAGTCACAAAAAAGCCTACAACATGGGCAGAGAATTCTCTACCTTGAATGGAGCATGGTCTAAGGATATGATTTATACTTAAAACTGTTAACCACAGCATTGTTTTACAAAGTTTTTTTGAATGACTTCATGCTTAATGTTGGGAGAAGAGCAGGTTAATAATGTCATTTTACATCATAAAACATTATTTGATTTTTAAAACTTACATTTACAATAACTTCATAACATTTAATAACTAATCAACGTTTTAGCTGATAATCTCAATGAAAAAAGTAATCAACAAAACTGCACATACAACATGATCAGCAACTCTGTAAAAAATTATGATTAGAAGAAAGAATACAGGGGCACCTGGGTGGCTCAGTCAGTTAAGCATCTGCCTTCGGCTCAGGTCATGATCCTGGAGTCCCGGGATCAAGCCCCACGTTGGGCTCCCTGCCCAGCAGGGAGTCTGCCTGTTCCTCTCCCTTTTCTCTCCACAACCCCCCACCTCGTGTTCTCTCTCTCTCTCCCTCACTCACTCTCTCAAATACATAAATAAATAAATAAATCTTTTTTTAAAAAAGGAAGAAAGAGTACTGCAATACTGAAATGTTAAGAGTGACCGTTTTTGAGAGGTAAGTAGGTGATTTTTCAAAATTTCATTATGCTTTCCACACTTTCCAAGTTTTTTTCTTTTTTGAAATGGGCAGGTAGTATTATTTTTATCATCATGGAAAGCAGCTAAAATAATGGTGACAAAATTATCCTCAGGTGGCCTTTATAATCAACAGACAGAGGCAAGAACAGAGCCATTGAAACTTCGGGTCTTGTAGTACTGTGATTCTTTATACTCTCTCCCACACAGTGCTAAAGAACTACCAGTTGAGTCACTGGGAGAATGTTACCAGGAAACATATCATTCAAATAACAAACCATCTTTCGAATTGGCAGTGTTTCTGCTAATTTAGTAACACAACAACAACAATAAAATACCCAACTATCTGAAGTAATTTGCTTCGTGTCCTCTTAGGTCTTATGAAAAAAAAAATGAGTTCACACTTCCTCATGTGGCTATCACACCAAAGGGATTTATAAAGATGTACACCTGTTGTTTAGCACTTGGAGCAAGGCACTGGCAGAAAAGACAGCTTCATCTCACCCCTAATGTATCTATGCTGCATTAGCCCACCACAGATGTTAAAATTATGTAGGGACCCCTGGGTGGCTCAGTCGGTTAAGCGTCTGCCTTCGGCTCGGGTCATGATCCCAGGGTCCTGGGATCGAGTCCTGCATCGGGCTCCTTGCTGAGCGGGGAGCCTGCTTCTCCCTCTGCCTGCCTCTGTCTCTCTCTCTCTCTGATAAAAAAAAAAAAAAAAAAAAAAAAATTATGTAAAAACCCACAGACCAATAGTCATTGGGCTGTGGCCCCTTTTCTGCTAGTCTACCTGAGATCTATTGCGGAAATCAAAATGAAGCACCTAGATGTGGGCTCTTGAGGAACATCGAGCAGGTGGACTCTGCTCCCCAGGTCAGGAAAATAAGCAGTGAAACCCTTCCTAAGACTAAACACACTTAAGAAGATAAGGAGATACCATTTTTTAAAAAAAAAAGATGTCCAGCGGAGTGATTAAAATGTGGCCTACTAACTAATTGACCATAAAACAACTGGTATCCTAATAAATCATCATTTTCCAAAGTACATATAAAAATGCTATTTCACAATACCTCCCCCACCCCTGTTTCCAAATTCATCCTTCTCTATCTCAATCCCCCACCCTGGGATCCCTCTCCCACTCGCTGCTTGTAGCCTCCCTGTGTTCTCAAATAAGAAAGCGATTGGAATTCTGATACCTCCTATTCCCTGCACCCTCACCTGGCCTTCTATACCCCATCCTGCTTCCCACAGAATCTACAGATGAGAGCAGCATATGGATGAGGACACATGAAATTGTAATCGAGTAGCAGGAAAAGGGGGTTAGGGAAGTATACAGTATTATTACTGAGGAAGTGCACTCAAACCAGAGATAAGAAGATGTGCAAGGGGCAATGATCGATGAGGTACTGATATGGGATACTGTCATCTTTGCATGTGAGGGGGTCCGTCTACCCATTTCCATTAAAAGTCCTTCACAGCTGAGTCTGGATTGTACTCCTTTGCAGGCTGCAATGCCCAGTACTCTCTCTTGCAGATAACAGATGTTGAATTAATATTTTCCTTATTCGAACATTTTACAGGGGGAACAAAAATGCATTTGGGTAACAATATAATGTCATTTCAGAAATGAAAGAATGAAGCTAATAAATAAGCGTTTACTGTATCGCTAATCTGTGTCCACTGCTGACTACTGCTGTGGGCATTACACAAAACATAAGATATCACCTTTGCTTTTCAGGAACTCAAAAGGCAGACAAGTTACTTCTTAGGAGCTAGCTGGTGACCGAGTAGACTTTTTTTTTATTTTAATTAAGTAATCTGTGCCCAACATGGGGCTCGAACTCATGACCCCAAGAACAAGAGTCACATGCTCTACCAACTGAGCCAGCCAAGTGCCCCTTAAAATTAATATTATAATTATCGGAGGGTGCTTACTTCAGGCATTTCTGCTATGATGTATGGATCCCAAAGCTGTGATGGTCAAATAAAGTCTTCTTCAAATTGACCAAAAAGGAATGCAGACAACCCAGGGTGAATTAAAGGTCTAAGGCGGAAGCATCAGAAACAAAGCAGCAATAATACGTGCTCCTTCTCCATTCTGAAATTCATTACATTACTGAGATCAGAAATCCCTCTAAATACGGTGATTATACTTACAAAAGGGGATACAGACTGCTGCTTCTGCTGCTTCTTTTTTAAAGGAAGCAAGCATTAAGATTGTTCGATTATCAGAGCCCCCAGCAAGGAGTGGGGTTATGACTCTGTGGTGGTGCTTGCATCCGCTCACTCACACTGGTCACTATGTGGTCACTCACCCGTGTGTTTGTATGTCACAGCCCCTGAGATGACATCTCCCTGAGAGAACTGATCCACTGTGACTCCAGCTTTCCTCACCACACCATGCTGAGGCTCTCGAGCAATCACAAACATCAGCTTCAAGTCATCACTGTCCACATCAGTAGCCAAAATGTATTCAGAGGTGATGACCACCTCTTCGCCCTCTGAGCAATGCATCATGGGGATGAGGTCAGCCTTTAGGATTGGTGGCTCATCATTTACAGGGAATACCTAGGGGGAAAAAAATGCATGTTTTCAAGAAAAAAGAAAGCAATGACAAATTGCCCAACTGGTAAACCATAGCTCATCGTCGGAATGACAGGCATTTTCGATCTTCCAGACACAAGACACAATAGCCATGGAATTTGGCCAAGCAGGCTGTATCTTTTCCCCATATGAACCATCTTGTAAGAAATGGCCAACATGAGAGGCATTTGAGGTAGGAATGGAAGAATATGGTTATGGTCTGGGACTCAAGCTCTCATTTGTTTCTAGAGAGACAAAATATAAATGTAATACAAAGCAGTCTTCACTAAAGTCCCTACCCTCCTTCGTTATATTCACACATATTCCAGAGGAAATCTGGTCCTTGTGGTCTGATGCATTTGTATTTACCACACCAGAGTTATTTATATTTCAAATTATTTGGCGATTACAAAGCTTTCATCGACCCTCAACTTCCTGCCACCCAGGAAGTTTCTCCAAACTTAGAATAAGCAGCAGCTTATTTCGAACATTTTGAGTTAACTCTGAAACTCTATAACCATTAAATCAATCCCAGGCTTCAACTTGACAAAACATTTTTCTCTCATTGTCATGAAAATAAAGCTCCAAGTAGAACAGGAAAAAAGAGCAATATGGGTCCACTCTGGCTCTCCGAATCTAACAGGATGATGCAGACACTTGAAAAGGCAAGTCTTTTATTGTTTTTTAATTTTTAAAAAAGATTTATTTATTTATTTGAGAAAGAGAGAGAGAGCGCGCAGGCAGGGGGAAGGGCAGAGATGGTCACACAACAGAGGGAGAGGGAATCCCAAGCTGACTCCACACTGAGTGTGGAGCCCCACTCGGGGCTCAATCTCACGACCCTGAGATCCTGACCAGAGCTGAAATCAAGAGTCAGGGGCTGAACCAACTGAGCCACCCAGGTGCCCCCAAAAGGCAAGTCTTTTAAATCGGAATGAAAGACAATCTGCCTCTGAGGTCCCAGTCGCAACTTGGTGTGTGTGCTACTCGTTTAGTTATCAAGTCTGGCCTGTGGATACTCTCAACCCCACATTTCCTGCCACCTCGCTTCAGCCACAGGGATCTTTTTAAAAGGTGGCTTTCCTAACTCTGGTTTCTCTTCAGATCATGTAAAGTTTCACCTTTTAAAATGTGGCTTTCGTCAAGTCACTGCCTTATGGGGACCTTCAGCGGCTTCCTAGCGCTGCTCCAAGGATGTCTTGGGCCTCGTTTCATGCAATAGGGTGCCTCTGTCTCCCCACTGCCTTTTCCCCAGAAGACACTGAGTTCCTCCCACGTCCGATCTTTGCACCATCTCTGCGTGTTCTTTCTGCCCCGTGGCTCTGTAGGGTCAGCCCTCAGCTCTTGGCTCGGCTACTCTCTCCTTCAGATTACACATGGATTCTTCAGGGAAAACTTCTTTGACAACTCAGACTCATTAGGGACTTCTACCGTTCCTCTCTTTTAGCACCCCATTTATTTGTAGAACACAGGCACATTATAACTAATCAATTATTTCCGTGAGAATCTATTTAATGTCTGCCTTCATCCCCTGCCTATAATCTCTAACAGAACAGAGACTTTCTTTGTCATGTTCATCGTCATATCCCAAGCATCTAGCATAGGAACTGGCCTAAAGAAGGCACTTTTTAAATATTTATGGAGTAAATAAATGAATGAAGGCAAATATGTATATACGATCTGAATACCCTGCTATTTAAACAGGCTAACAACTCTACAAAAAATATACATGAAATTATTTTCATATTTTCCTTTAAAGGGTAGAGGGATGGGGTAATAGAAACTCAGACTGATTTATTTAATCAAAGGTAAAAAAAAAAGTATGCCATACTCTATTCTATTTTCTATTGGCTTATTAGGAAATAATATTTGTTCAAGTCCTCTGAGTGGATTCATTAAAGACCCTCTTTATTACTGTTCTTGACTCTATTTGATGAATGTCACCAATACATCCATGATAACCACCTTACAAAATACAAAATAGCCTCAGCTTTCAAATGGATAATAAAGTCCAAAGGCAACAGAATTTAAAACATTCTTCCTGGATAGAAAACAATCACACATAATTGTCCAAAAATTACCTGTACTTCTGGTTGGCTTCCAAGGGCCATGCCCTTTTATCTAAAAAGTAACAACAAACAAACTGTTTACACAGTCAAAGGAATGATTTGGGCACGTCATGGAAACTTCTTGAACCTAAGTTTTCTTGCCTATAAAATGGAGCTAATTCCTTCTCTTCTACTGCCCTGTGCCAGAGATAATTCCTTCTCCTTCTTAAAAATACTAGATGGATGTAGGCATTCTTAATTATTAACCATAAAAATGTCATACAAACACATTATCACTAATTATAATTTCATATCATAAAGATCTGACAAAATTCAAACAGAAATAGAATTTGGCAGATAAAAGTAAAAGGAGCATGATAATTCTTTCTGCAGACCTTCCTTTGTTACTAACTATAAATACCTGCAAATCCTGTGATTTTTTTTTTTTACTGACTGAAGTGGTCACACAACAGAGGAACTCAGGGGTTCCCATCAACCTTAATGTGCAGATTTTTTTCAGCATTTGTCAAAAGGGGGAATGTAATCATTTCTAACAGACCTCAGAAAGGAGTATATAGGACAGGAACTCATAAAGGGGCATCACACACACATAAAGACATGGCTTCTTCCACACAAGAGGGAAAAGTCCAGTGATGCCAGCTGCTAAATATTTCAGAGTGTTACAGCTCAAAAATATTAGAATCAATTTACACACAGAACCAATTGGTTTTTAAATTAAGTATCTGGGTTTGAGGTCCGAGTGGTTTAATCTTTAAATGGATTAGAAAGAGAAAGCAGTATGCCCATTTAACCAATATAACTTTGCTGTCTATTGCCTGTCCTGAGACCTTCAGACATAGCAGGTATGCTCTTGAAGTCCACATGTTTCAAGTTCTATCAGGAACTCTTAAGCTTCCAAACCAGGGGCCTGGGTGGCTCAGTCGGTTGAGCATCCGACTCTTGATTTCGGCTCAGGTCTTGATCTCAGGGTCGTGGGATCGAGCCCCACAACAGGCTCTGCACTGAGCGTGGAGCCTGCTTAAGATTCTCTCCCTCTCCCTCTGCCCGTCCCCACCCCACTTGCGTGCTCTCTATCCCTCTCTCTCTCCCATTCTCAAAAAAAAAAAAAAGGCTTCCAAACCAGACGCTTTATTTCTATATGAATGAGGGAGGAAACTTTCTACCCACCTCAACATGTAGAACAAATTCTGCTGAATTCATGCCATCTGTGACCTCCAAAAATATGTCATCCTGAAGTCTCTCAGATCCATCATGCTGATACCTGTGGGGATGATATTTGCCACTAGCCCCTCAAGGCCACGGTGACAGTAGATGTCTGACTCAAAAGCTCATCCATGGCTTTGGCCACATGGTCAATAAATGAATAACAAAAAACATAACATAATCATGAAGTCACACACTTAACTACTCAAGTGTCCCTGAATGTAAAAAATTTGCTCCACCCCGGAAAAATGTATTGTATGCATTCACAATTTGTCCCTCAATCCAAAATCAGTCTTTCAGGTTGCCACTGTGGCAATGGGAACCAGTTGGTGTAGTTCTGCTTACTTACATAACACGAGGCTGGGGCCAGGGGGTGATTGAGACAGACAGTAGACAGATAAAAGTGGGACACTGTGAATCTTGATGAACCCCCTCCTCCCTTACTTTTAAGCCTAATCTTTCTGCTTGTGTTTTTGATCTGTTCAGCTCTTCTCTAAAACTCTGATCTATGAATTATTTATTGCCTCTCTCCTGCCATTTTCCCTCTTCTATTTACTAGCTCTCTTTCACTCAACCTATAAAGATTTTCAAATCTCTCCAGACTTAAAAATATTTTTCCTTGATTTAGCTTTGGCCCTACTTTCCTTTAATTTCCAGTCAAGTTTTATAACAGAACTGTCTAATTCAAGACTTTTCATCTACTCTCCAACCACTGTAGTGATACGTGGCAAGTTCTAAACAGCTGTTGAATTGAGCCAAATTTTTAGCTTATTAATGATTTGTTCAAGATAGGAAATAAGCGCTAGGAAATAAAGTTAAAAGTTACATAAAAATTAGTATATTGAGGGGTGCCTGGGTGGCTCAGTTGGTTGAGCATCCAACTCTTGGTTTCAGCTCCAGTCATGATCTCAGGGTCCTGGGATCAACCCCTTGCTTTGGGCTCACACTCAAGGGGGAGTCTGCTTGAGCTTCTCTTCCCGCCCCCCCCGCCGCCCTCACCCTGCTCACGCTCTCTCTCTAATAAATAAACCTAAAAAAAAAAAGTATATCAAACATATATAAAACTTACATATGAAAAAATCCCAGAGCTAAAAGGTATTGTACTCAGGACTAGTCTCACCCATACACTGGGTAGGGACTCAGGTTTGGGATTCCATTCCAATGGTGAAGAAGGTCCACCTCCCAACCCCAGTACCCCGCCCACACACTTCCTCCTATGCTCCCTGATAGTTTCATCAAAAATGGGTATGTGATAATGTACTAATCCTATCTTACCATGCTAATACCCCAAAAGGGCCAAGTGGAATCTAGGAGTACACATCCAAAGGCATGGCTATGGAATCGAACAGAATTTTCAAAACCAGACTCCTCCATATACTAGCTGAGTGACTTCAACCTCTCAGTTTCTTCAACTATAACATGAGAATACAACCATCTACCTTGTCAGGTTGATTACTATAAAGATTAAATGGGGGGGGAAACATAATGGCAAGTCTATCGAAGAGTCCTTGAATTATATGCACTGGCAGATACCGGTACTACCAGTACTTTTTTTTCTATCCATCATTCACTCCCTAGTAAGAATTACCTAAACAGAGCTCTTGTTCTAATATGTAACTAAGAGCTGAGAACCCTAAAAAGAAGGAAATTTTAATGAGAATAGGAGTGAGTAGTGGAAAAAGTCAAGATATTGGAGACTGTGAATAAACTTAACTAAACTAAATTTCAGATGAAATTGATCTTCCTATGCACAAATCCAAGCTCCTAGTCAAATTTCAAGAGTGGAATTAAGCATCTGATGCCTAATACCTTCTGAAAGGTCAAAATTCCCATTTACAATTTGAACTTATAAATAATAAGTCAACTAGTATATCTGTCTACCTGATTTGTGCTTTTGAGTACCTTGCATTGCTTTACAGAAAAGGCATCTTATGAAATTCTGTAATTTTGCAGTTATAGAACTGCAGTAGGTAGAAGAAATGAAAGACCTCAAGGTGAGGGGAACTGCTGTAGGACCTTGAGAAATGAATTGCTCTCTCTCTCTGACTGTCAGAAAACCAAGTACTACTCCATGCTCTACCTTCCCAGCCTACCCTACATGTTTGCCTGCAACTCCCTTCCCAGTAGAATGGAATAAAAATTTACATTAAAGATACTGATCAACAGAATTTTATCCCAGAGTTTCCACGGTTGTGAAATTGACTCTTCTTAAAGCCAAGTTCAACTATATAGGTTAGCCATATAGATTATTTCAGTCTATATCTAGTTTGGCTATTACCTCTTGTGATATGTACAGTCGCAGCAAATTTAATATTCACGGTAATTAATTTCTGTTGTTCAAATATCCAAAAAGTCATTCATTCCCACTGGTACAAGCAAGCCAGATTAAAAGAAAATGTCTGGAGGGAAATTAAAAGTTTGTCATTTCTAATTTTCAACTGACCCTTGAAAGTATTAATTGGCATGCTGACACCGCTGAAAAAGTTGAACAAACTTCTTTCTCTTACTCTGCCTCACAACTGATCCAGATGAAGGTCAAAGCATATCAAAAAAGAAATCCAGGAAATGTTCTAACCTAACTTTTAAGGCACGGAGGTCTCCCCAAGAAAATGTGCCTCCTGTGTTTAGAGGAAATCCATCCAGCTCCACCCTTCCACACTGAGGCAGTCTTTGTAGGGAGAGGCAGATGTTGTCCAGTTTGGTATCCATATCAGAAACCAGGACGTTCTCTGTGCTGATGACACATTGACCTCCCTCAGTCACTCTCAGGGGATTGGTAAACACCTAAAAAGAAGGAAGAAAACATTCGAGGTCTTGTTCCATGAACTATCCCTGAACACTGAGCTCATTAAATAAATAGAAAACTTCTAGTACCACCTTCACATGCATGTCAATTAATTTTTTAAGGATGTGGTAAAGGGGACAAGTTCATAGCTGAACCTCTTGGCTGAAAAATATTTTTTACTAAACATTTCCAATTCTAAGCATTGAGGTATACAAAGAAGCAAGGCGGATTCATAACCGTGAAAGTATCTACATTTCATTTACCTCAGACCCCCGTATAGTGGAAACAGCAACCAAACTAGTTACTACTGGTGCTAAATAAAGAAAATAGTAACATCCATCATCATGTCCACACCCACCATTGCTGGATACATATATACCTTCACCTAGAAAATGAACAACAATTATATCAAATTCCCCTAGAGGAAAGAATCCATCCCTTTTTTCACCCTAAAAATTCTTAAAGATTTGGGAAATTGTTCGGAGCTTCTAAGTGTCAATTATGAGTATTTTACAGATGGAAGTAGAGCAGAAGATTGGAGATCGAAGATTCTACAGGAAATATTTTATTCAAACATCAGACAAATAATTAAGCTATAAAGATAACTTTTGATGACCGAAAAACCCACTACTCAACCAACAATTCATTTGAAAGTAAAAAGCAAGTAAGAAGGACTGGGGATTAAGTTAAGTACCCCTCCACATTTTAGGGCAGCTTTCAAAAAATTGCTACATTGGGACTTGGCAAGAAGTGTTCTATGGTCAAATAAGGCTTGAGAACAGTCATGTACAATATCTTCACCTTGGAGGTTTATAAGGCGTGTAAGTATATTCAACGTTCTGAGGTCCTGCAAGTAGAAAAATTGGTGAACTTTGTTTAGCCTATCATTCTCCCAAATTCCTATTACTACACAGAAGTAAAAGCAAGCAGATAGAGTTGGGGTACCAATCGTGGGCTCTGAAGGTCCCCTGCAAAAGGTCTGAGGTGGGTGCCTCACCCATGTGAGGACACAGCATTCTTCAAGGAAGAAGCCACTCTCTTCAGACCAGCTGCCACTCCCAGAAAGGAGAATGTTCCTGAGGGAAAAGTTGGGCGGGGGGTGGGGAGGGGGTAGGAGATAGGCAGAGGAAAGGGAAGTGAGCAAGGGGAAGTCACAGTCTCCACTCAGAGCCCTGCTCTATCCTCCTGCCCACCAGGGCACAGTTGCCCCAAGGCAGCCCCCCTGGGTCATGGAAATTTTGAGACCAACCACCCTGAGACACTTGCCTTCTATTCTTCAATAAACTACCTCTACTAGCAAAGGAAAACATAAAACAAGACTTCTCTTCTCTCCCTACAACGACGCTCACCCCCATCCTTCCCACATGCCTTACTCCTACATTTTTACTGTTTGTAGGAGAAATAAAGAAAGAATATTCCTGTTATTAAAAGAGGAGCATTATTTTTGAAACAAGGTCCATATCTGCTAGCCTTCTTGATTACCAAGTTGCATCAATTAATACCCCGAGTTGCGAATGTTTCAAGGGATACACTCTGCTATACTCTGGGGTTTTAAAACATATATGCATTTTAGGGCAGCTTTCAAAAAATAAAAGCATAAGGCTAATTTGCCCCAACTCATTCATCACTAACTTTTCAGTCTCTGCCCAAACCTAGTACTTAGGTTTTGAGGCCTTCCCGTGAGCATCATATTAATATATCCTCGTGGTTATTACTCAACTCAGCTATCTGTGGGTATTTCACACCAGGAAACCACTCACCTGACTGGTTTCACTAGAGCTACTCATTTTTAAATTTTATTTCTAATGTTCTCAGTTCTCTAAGGTATGATTTCATTTGTCCCATACAGTATAGGAAAAAGAGCCAACTATGCCACGTTAGCCCTGAGTCCTCATAACTATTCCATCTACCTTCAGATGAGGGCGGTAACTGTTCACTTCACCTTTTCTAGTTTTCTGATTTTCTCCACAGATCATTTTTCTCCAGCAAGACGTTTGGGTTGCGTTGCATAAAACACTACTTCTCTCCGTGATTGTTTTAGAAAAAGCTTTGGCTTCTTTAGATGCTGGGCTAGTTCAGGGCATGTATCTCATACACAGAAAAGAATGGTCTGAATAAGATCTAATCAAATTAACAGACATTCTAAACTTTCTTCCACAGGGAATGTGATCTGGTCCCTGACAGGGAAGGAATCAAAGAATATAGTTCAGATTCTTTTGTCTTTTGTGTGAGCTCTTTGGTGCATCTTCTGCCAAATATGGCAAGTTCAGAGGCCTGAGGGGGCAGGCCAGCAATGTAAATGAGTGTGCTGAGCTGGGTGGGGCCTTTGGAGCCTGGAGAACAGGCCCAGGCAGCTGCTGCTGAGGGTAAGTGAGTTCACTGTTCCTAGAGTTCCCAAATTTTCAAGAGAAGCCAGAAAGCCAGACTTGATATGAAACTTCCTGATGTGTAAATGTTGGCAACTCATTAATTAAAAGTATTGTTTGGCTCTATCAGAACAGTTCTGTGGGTTGAGTAAGCCCCTTGGTCCCTCAGGGTGAGACCTCTGCCCTCCAACTTCCGGCAGTTGTAGAGATGGGGAGGAAGGAGCTGGAAAGAGAGCCTCAGGGCTCCCAGCTGTCCTCCAGGTAGGTACCTGGAAGGTGACCTCTTTCCTTAGGGATGAGACACGTATGGGTTCTCATCCCTCTGCTTCCTACCTTGTCTTTCCACTTCTGAGGGGAAAATGAGCTCAGGAATAGCCACACAAGTTACGTCTAGCCCTCTGATGGGGTTTGGAACAAACTTTCATTATGAAGTCCAGCCTCACAGATAAGATGCACAAGGTAGCATCATCTTTGTAGTTCAGTTTTAATAAGAGACCCAACTGCTTGACCGTTTATGTCAACACTGGGGCTGGGATGGGAGAGGATAAAAGAACCCATCTTAAGTCATTTGAAAAATTAAGAGAGCATAGAGTTGGCCTGCAATGAGAGTAAATAAGTCCTTCCGGTTGTTAAGAGACCCATAACTTAATTCCCGTCCCCTGATCAGCATGTGAGGCTTAGCAAAAAGGAAAAGAAAGGAAAGAGGTTTTGATAAAGCTTTGAAAATAATGCCAAATTCAGAAACTGGAAAATCTCACCTTTTAGACAGAAAGACCCTTGGGAGGTGAAAGACTCCGCTCCCCAAGCTTTTTTTCCTACACTGTAGCTGAAAAATTAAAAAGTTCTGGAAAATAGCCTAAAGAAAAGTTAGCATTTCCAGTAAGTCTTCAAGTCTTTCTTTTCTTTCCTTAGGTCTTCCCGCCTCTTTAACTTTCACATCAAACATTGTACATACCTCAGGAACTTGATTGTCCACTGGAAGAATTGTAATGTTAAAGCAGATCCCGTGCAAAGTGCCACCATGTTGGTTACTGATGGAAAAGGCAAACTGGACATGTCGCGGATGGAGGCCTATATCTTGCAGGGGTGGCATGTAGGCCACTTTCATGTGGTTCACAGCATGCTGCAAAGCAAATCGAGATGGACACGTGGGTGCCCATCTGCAAGGATCAGAGACTTTTCAGAGAGCTAGGTCTCCGAGACCCATCATGTTGACATCCAACACTGGAAATGCCAACATCATCACTTTGAAGAGTCCAAAAACCTCTATTTTATAAATTGCTTTTTCTAAAACCAGGAGGGAAAAGAACAAAGAAATTAAGTAAATATGTCAAGTGCTTGACGCCAGCCAACTCTATAAAAGACAGGAGATGTGAATTTCAACCCAGCTCCACCATAAATTAGCTGTGTGATATTGGTCAAGTTACTTAAACTTCTGAGGCCTCTGTTTCCTTACCACTACAATAAATAAAATAATAAAATAAGAGTACTAAGCACATGGGATTTGCATACTCATTTGCATCATCTAACTACAGTGAGATTAGGCAGAATTAGCCCTACGGACAGGGGTAGTTGCTGCCTCAGTATTCATCACCATTACTGTGACTCTCAGGGGAGTATTCAGGGAAGAGTCCACAGGAAGGGGGAGAAGGTTGGTGAAGGATTTGGGATGGTAGTAGGTATTGTAAGTTGAATGCATTCCCCCAAAAGAGATATGTTGAGGTCCTAACCTCTAGTACCTCAGAATATGACCTTATTTGGGAATGGGGTTGTTGCAGCTGTAATCAGTTAAGATAAGGTGTAATCACACTGAAGGGTGAGCCCTTCATGAAATACAACCTGTGTCCTCATAAGAAGAGAGAGACATATAGAGAGAAGATGGCCAAAGGATGACAGAGGCAGAATGAAGTGATGATCCATAAGCCAAAGAAGGTCAGAGTCCAAAGAAGAGGCAAGGAAGGCTTCCCCTCCTGGGTTTCAAAAAATTGCGACCCTGCCAACACCTTTACTTCAGACTTCCAGCCTCCAGAACTTCGAGACAGTAAGTCTTGTTATTTTAAGCCACTCAGTTTGCGGTACCTACGGCAGCCCTAGGAAACTAATATGGTAGGATCTAGACTACTTGAATGTGTTAGAATAAAACCATAGGCACCAGGTCTGTAAATCAGAGCTCTGCTACTGGTAAAATGATGCAAAAAAGCTGTGCTGAATTATAACAAGATTTTGAAATCATATCCAGCTCAATGAAGCATTGTCAAGTAGATAGCACATGCTAAATAAAAGTGTGCAAGCAGGAAGAATGTAGACATCAAGCATTTGATACTTTTGACAGATGTCAAAGGCCATCATTTTCAAGTGCAATACTAGGAGTGTCATCCCTTCTCTCAGAAGACACCTCCATCATGTTTGGTCAACATTTTAGCATAGCATCATACCTGAGTGAATGATCTCAGCCCCGGGGCTGCAGGATTTTTGGTCAGCTTTGGAATGCTATCGACCATAAACAATTTCCCAGCATCCAGATGTCTAAAGAGAGTACAGGAGAACACCTCAGCTAATTTTCAGGCAAGAAACATTAAGTCAAAGAGCCTGCAACCAAATTTTCTAAAGCTACAAATGCTCATTGCAAGAAGAAATCAAATGTTCCATCTTCATATTCTCTCCTGCGGGGGTGGGGGTGGGGGTGGTTCTAGCCTTCTGTCCAGAATCATCAATGCCATTCTTATGACTGCAGAAACTATGTACAGAATTTTCTATTTTGATTTCATTAAAGTGAATCATTCTTCTCATCCTAAAAAATGTTTCCTTGCTATCATGTCCATGACACAAGCCTCAGGTATATTCATGTCACTTTTCTGATTGGGATTATAGAATATGACAATTTTGTGGCCTGCAATATCTGAAAATAGTGTTATGAAGATACAATAAATTTTTATTAAAAAGACAAAAATAACAATCTCTTTAGAAAAAAAGGAATGTTGTATGAAAAAAAGATTAAAGGCTATTTTAAGCTTACCTAAGCTGAAGACACTATAAGTGGCAGGTCACTTACCAATTAATACAGCTTTTGAAGGGAGGTATGAAATAAGTTTGAGATTACAGTAAATGTGGAATTGAATACAAGTTCATGTCTGACCAACAGAGCAACTGAACCACAGTACTGTATATGGACACTTGCGACTCAGTCCTTGGACACAACCCTCAACAAATAGCCCAGGTGATGACTTCTCAAGAGATACCTGTGGCCGAAAGAGAAAAACGGAGGTGTCGTTATCATGTAGAGAAGCTCCCTGTCATATTCTGTATCTATATAATGTAGATGTTTCTTAGTTATGTAGGCCACCTCCGTTTCCTTGACAACCAAATGCCGAGAAACTCCAGGAGCCTCTTTTGGAAGCTGGTCATCCACTGGAGTGATATGGATGGTCACCACCTGGAAAGAAATTACCTGTGCCATTAATTTGAAATACCAAAGGACACCAAGGAAAACACCCCACAATCACCCAGTCATGGTTAAGATGCTTTTCAAAAACTCCCATTTGTAATATACTTCCACTGAAATGATTCAGGAGCTATTAAGAACGTGGGCCAAAAATGGAACATTCTTACCCATTTAATGTTATATTTTAAGAATAGAATTACCACAATTATGGTTAATGCAGCCATGAATGCTATAGAACAGGCACATAATACACAAAATATATTCCTGATTTTATTTCTACTTCTCCCTTGCACCAAGAACCTGTGCTTTCTTTTGCTACCACCCTCCACTCAGTCATTGATCCTAGAAACCTTGTCATGACTTTTGGTTCCTCCCTCTCCACTGACACATAACACATCTCCAAGTCCTAGAGTTTCTGTTTACCAAATTTCCTATGCCATGACCACACCCTGCCCCCACCCCAACTGTCATTCCCACTCTTACTGGTCTAGCTCCAGTTCTTATCGTTGCTTCCCTACATTATTGCAACAGCTTCCTGTAAGCACTAACTCCAATACCTAATGTAGACTTCACATATCTCTAGTGTTCTCTTTAAAAAAAAAAAAAAAAATGCAAGTCAAATCAATTATTCCTCTCCCCAAAAAACTAAAGAACCACTCGGGAGGGATTAAATTATTCAAGCTCCTCAGCATAGCACCCAAGACCTCCACGGTTTAGACACACTCTATTTTTCAACTTTATCTTGTACCACCTTTCAGCATTAACCCAGGACTCTAGATGAGCACAAGATACCAGGCCGTAGTTATCAAGCAGGTCTCTATGCTCTGGATCATGCTGTTCCTTCAGTCTGCAATGCTTTCTCCTGCTTTCTCCAGCAACTTGAGGCTTTCTTACCCTGGAGGGCTCTTCTTAAAACTTTGCCCAATTTCTTGGGGTTCCTGCGTGGCTCAGTCAGTTAAGCATCCAACTCTTAGTTTTGGCTCAGGTCATGGTCTCAGGGTCATGAGATTGAGCCCTGCGTCAGGCTGCCTGCTCGATGGGGAGTCTGGTTGAGATTCTTTCCCTCTGCCCCTCCCCTCCCCCCACATGTGCTTGCTCTCTCTCTCTAAAAGAAATAAATCAATCTTAAAAAAAACATTGCCCAGGGCGCCTGGGTGGCTCAGTTGGTTAAGCGACTGCCTTCGGCTCAGGTCATGATCCTGGAGTCCCAGGATCGAGTCCCGCATCGGGCTCCCTGCTCAGCGGGGAGTCTGCTTCTCCCTCTGACCCTCTTCCCTCTTGTGCTCTCTGTCTCTCATTCTCTCTCTCTCAAATAAATACAATCTTAAAAAAACAAAAACAAACAAACAAAAAAAAACATCGCCCAATTTCTCAGTTGGAATTGTTTTTGAATTTTGCTTATCCCTCAACAAACATTATTATTTTATATTGCCTTGCATTATTATTTAGTAGTTCACATGTCAGTCTCTCCTAGACTAAAATGTCCACAAAGGGAGAATCATAGCCTAGTGCAAACCATGTGGAATTTGTCAGTGGACAGACAGTTAAAAATGCAGAGTATACCACTCAGTAGTTATTAATCTTGAACAAGTCACTCGACCTTTTTGGGTGTCAGTTTTATTGGTTCGTTAATTGTAACAACAACAATCTCACAGAGTTGCTTTGAGAATCAAATATCACCACGTAGATAAATGTCTGGCACACAGTAGGTGCTCAATAAATATTATGTTCATTTCCGTTGCTCCACAAAAACTGGCATCCTATTTTGTAGGTAGGGAGATACTTCATCAGTGTTCGCTGACTCCATCAACACGCCCTATTTGTGATTTTTAAAATTCTTAAAATCATACTCACAGGTTTGGGATCATGTAAGAGGACAAGGCAACTTTGCCAAACAGCTTTTATCATCACATTTATTTTTTTTTCCAATAATCCATAACTGGTGGCGAGAAAGCAATCACTAACTCTTTCTCGAAATGGGACATTTGTTTGGCATCACGGATCTTTTGCACAGCTTGATGCGTGAGAGTATTCTTACTCTGGTTCTAATTATTTTAATATTATTACCAAAGCACAGATCAGCAATGCCAGTTTTGTCTACAATAATGGTGTTCACAATACTTAATTTGAAAATGAAGAAAATTCCTTTGTAAATTGATGTACAAAGCAAAAACTAAAGCATGGTTAAGCTTTTCGATGATAAAGCCTGGGACATCAGCTCAGTCACCTACAAGCTATGCTCCCTGAGGCAGATAATTTTACTCCTTTGGCGCTCAGTTTTTCTCTCTAGTAGCACAGTGAGTACCTGGTAGTAGGTGCTCAATTAATTAATTCCCTGTCTCCATCCTTCATTACTTTTACAAAAGCATACAACATATTTACTACTCCATTATGAAGCATTTCAATAATTAAAAACTAAAGCCAGTTATCAAAATAAAAGAACACAATGACAGTCATTTCTCCAGTCTCCTGGAGTCTGTGTCACAATTTTTTTTCCAATTACAGTTTTTTGCTAATCTACAAAGTTCAGAAATTCTCTATGGGACCTCCCAGCCATAGCGTGCATCAGCGAGGCTCCGCTTAATTGAAAAACTGGATTTAATATGGAAACAATAGTTATTGTGCCTTCAAAGAGACCATTTTCCATGCTAATTTATTCTCCAATGTGTTCTTTGTGTAAAAAGAATGTACAAGCATGCTTTTTTATACCCCTATAGTAATTCTTGGTGGGCACATTTTTCAACATGCTTTATGATCACTTAAGTTGATGTATCTTTACATATTTATGCATGTTTAAACAATTATTGTATGTCTGTCTGTGTGTAACAAAAATCCTATTTTAACAAGCTCCATAGAGAAATAAAGAATTCTCACTGTACTGAAATTGGGTTGTAAAAAAGACATTATTGAACACCCATTCCCAGACAGTGAAAACCTAATGCCCAATCACTGGGCTCTTGCTGCTGACTCTCCCTACATCCCTCCAGTCTAATTATGGCCACAGGCACCTGCAAACAGACTTAGAGAGAATCTGAATATAAAGTGATAAATCAGTACACAATATGACAAAGCTTGACCTTGACCCTCAGAATCAGGCTCGATATACGATACTCTGACAGCTAGTATCTGACTTTCTTACAAGCCTGGGTTCTTGATCCTTTCTCTGTATCAGCTTTGATTTTTGCCTGATTCTTTATCTTGCATCTTCTTTTTGAGATTATCCCGTGCTATTTTTCTGCCCCAGGAACTACTACCCAAGTTAGCTTTGCCCACCCCACCCTCCAGTTTGACTTCCGACAAATGCCCATGCCCTGGGTGCCTGTTCTCTCATCCAGTCACATCCAGTTGCCTCCTCCCACTTGACCCACAGGCCTTTGTGGGACCTGCTTCCTTTCTTCCTCCGTTGCTTAGTCCTCTTCCCGTTTCTCTCATCTATCTGTATTTTTTCATTCTCCAGTTTACTTTTTTTTTTAAGTTTTTATTTTAAACACCCGGTGCTCATCATGACAAGTGCATGCCTTAATCCCCATCACCTATTTCACCTATTTCACCCATTCCCGCCCCACCCCACTTTACCTCTAATATCACTTCCTCCTGGTTTAAGATCTCTTACAGCTTAAGCCCTATAAAGCCCTCTATGGAGAAGGATAAAGAAGGAAATATTTTTCAAAATCAACTGAGCGGGGGGCGCCTGGGTGGCTCAGTTGGTTAAGCGACTGCCTTCGGCTCAGGTCATGATCCTGGAGTCCCGGGATCGAGTCCCGCGTCGGGCTCCCTGCTCGGCGGGGAGTCTGCTTCTCCCTCTCCCGCTCCCCCTTCTCATGTGCTCTCTTTCTCTCTCTCTCATTCTCTCTCTCTCTCTCAAGTAAATAAATAAATAAATCTTAAAAAAATAAATATTTAAAAAAAAAATCAATTGAGCGGGTGAGGCTTTATTTGATGACAGTAGTGACAACCAAGACAGAAAGAGAGAGGGGTTTCTTGCTGATGTGTAGATACACTGTTGGTTGGTGTGTCAGTCAACCTCTCAGACGAGCATTCAGTAGAGAAGGACAAGAGGAGGGAAAGGGCATCCCTGCTTATGTAACTTCTTTCCCGCTTTATGTGCATTGTGTCTCACCTGAGGAGATCCTTGCTCTCTGTCTCTATGAAAGGCAGTTTTCCAACAGTGTGGCCTAAGCAATCTTGTGCCCTACTTTAATTTTTGGTGACCAGATTTTGCTGAATTTTATCTGTAAGACATGACTAGATACTTGTCCAAATTGAAGACGCAATCATCAAGTAGACTGAATGATCATGCAAGTCCCTTAAAAATTAGAGTTTCAATGATGACATCGGGGGTTTACAACACGGAAATACTTACCAACACACACACACAATACTTGTTTTGTTGTTAGGCACACACTAATTCCTAGAAACTCTGAAGAATAAAAGATTTACACTTATTCTTCCCCATGGCACTCCCTCCCCAGTTCCTACCAAATGTTTCAGTCTTCTTATTTTCTCTTACTTTCAAGAAAAATGGAAAGAACCAGAGTTCATTTTGGCACACACAAAAAAGCAGCTCTTGAGGCTCTACTTTGAGTCTTGAAACAAAGTCGGAAGACACAAGATAAATAATTTGTGATTCCTGCCATCAGTGAGCTCACAGTTGATCCAATAAAACAAATAATGGCCTCACATTTTAGCTATTTGATATCAGATCATATAAAAGGACAAGCTGAATCAGCCTGGGGGAGTTATGGAATGGAGGGCATTGGAAAATGATTCTTGGAGCAGGTGATGTTATAGCTGAGCAGAGGTCCATAATCTGGAGAAGGACTAAGCTAAAGCTGCCACTAGTCAGAAGTGGGGGAAAAAAATGGATGCCGGAGGAATGCTACCAAACACTTTGCCACTGTAGTAATGGGTTTTAACTGTCCTCAATTACAAGGATGTGGCTGATCTCCTCTATTCTTAAGAGATGTGAGGGATTCTGACGATAATTTAGCCCCCAAAAGACCTGCTGACTGACCAGTTATACAGATATTAGATGGAGAAAAGGGCTGGGGAGGACTTCAGGGATTCTAGTTACAGTGGTTTTGCACAAGTTTGGGGGGAAATATTCCAAATGTCTCATGGATTGTGGACATGATGAATTTAAAATGCTGGTGAAGGCGCGTGGGTGGCTCAGTCGGTTGGATGTCTGCCTTTGGCTCAGGTCATGATCCCAGAGTCCCAAGATTGAGTCCCGCATCGGGCTCCCTGCTCAGTGGGGAGTCTGCTTCTCCTTCTGCCCCCACCTCTCTCTGTCTCTCTCTCTCATAAATAAATAAAAATAAAATCTTTAAAAATAAAATAAAATGCTGGTGAGACACATGTGTAATGATGTCAGGTACAGAAGCGGGTACATAAGACTGAGCTGGAGAATATTTAGGAACCAAAGAATAGGTGGTACATGAAGACAGAGCAAATTTATAGATTCTGTCTCTGTCTGTTTCTCAACAAAAATTAAGAAGACAAAAGCAAAGAAAAACATAATTATGACCTCTTCTTTCGAAATATATCCATCATCGGGATCTACAGAGTTTGATCTGACTTATTTGCCAAGATTTAGAAATAATTCTGCTTCAATAAAGTTTTCATTACCTTATTATAGAGAGACCCCACGTCTCCATTTGATCTATAAATATGAGATAAATATAAATAAATCTATACCTACGATGTATAAAATATATAACAGCAGAAGAGGAAAAAGAAGTCCTGAGCTTTCAATTTTTAAAAAAACACATAATCCGCTAAAAGTGATATGGTACTCTAGTCAGAAGCTGGTCAGTTTGAATAGATACAATAGAAGATTTAAAAATAAATCCTACTAGTAGTTGCCATTTTAGATTATCAAGTCAACTAAGGTCTCAAGCAAAAACGCAATCTAGAAATGGCATATAATACACTGATGAAAAGAGGGAGTTGTTATTTGTAAAGGAATTGATTGGTTATTCAATATGCAGATGAATTAAGAATTTTCTCATTCATTCTCTATTCCCTCCTAACAGGGATTACCTAGTTCCTTCAGTTTCTGGGCTCTCTGCCATCATTCTTCCTGATCATTCCTTTTTGTTACCTTTGTCTTAGCAGGAAGATGAATAGCTCCATCACCTACGCTGTGGCTAATGTAAGTGACTGTGACATTATGAGAAGCATTATATAACCAATGAGGACACATGCTTTAAGAAATCATTCTAGAGGGGCGCCTGGGTGGCTCTGTCTGATAAGCACCCGACTCCTGATTCCAGCTCAGGTCATGATCTCAGGGTCGTGAGACTGACCCCTGCATCTGGGCTCCATGTTCAGCAGTGAATCTATTTCCTCCTCCTTCTCCCTCTGTCCCTAGTCCCCTCTAAAATAAATAAGTCTTTTTAAAACATCATTCTAGAGCTGGTTCTCAAGATCATAGGTATAAAATGTCTAGCAAAAAGAACCATGTATAGTAAGTAATCACTTATTATCAGCCGTCTTTCCACCCCCACCACCAGCCATCCTCTCTTTACATGGAGTCTACCCTCTTATAGTTTATAGTTGTCCAGATCCTATGCTAACTTCATTTTCTGTAATTTCTATATGTGAATGCCTCCTTAAACTTATTTCTGCATCCTGTATACTTAAATGATATACTTGAGTGGTGGTAAAACTCATAGTTCTTCAAAAGCAACAATAAATAATAGCAAATTTGTCTACTGACTACTTATCATGTGCCAGAAAGTTCTCAGTACTTTATACATGATTATCTCACTCACCCTCACAATTGCTCTCTAAGGAAGTTGTATTATTACCTATTTTACAGATGAGGAAACTGAGACACAGGTCAAACAGTTAAGGTCAAGGATAGGAGAGAAACATGGGCAGTGTAACTTCAGAGACTATGCTTCAACCACTACACATAAAATGCCAGTTTTCTCAAGTCTTATGAGGCCAGCATATTTTGGGAGCTGTTCTGTATAAAAGGGCCCCATGGTTAAATGATCTTGAAAACCCTGCATTACACGGAGTTTTTACAAATACAGTAATTTACAAAACTAATTAGGAAAGTAAATGGTAGAGAAGTCATGTTGCAAAGAAATTGAATTAATCTTGCTGAATCCATTGCTTCTCAAACTCTGAACCTTAAAACCTGCTTTTACATAGTTTCTAATAACACCTCCCAGAATGGATATCTATGGACAAGACTTTGAGGGCAGTATTCAGAGATGGCTCTTACCTGTGGCACTGAGAGATTTGGAGGTTCATGGCTGTCCCACAGGACAAATTCAAAAAAGTCTTCAAAGATCTCTCCACCAAAGTGACGATAGTAAATGATGCCATTAAATAGATCCCTCTGAAGGAAGCCAGGCACAGGATAGCCTATCGGGTCCACAAAACAGCACATACTTTTGTAACAATCTTCCAGATGTTGGGGTATAAAGATATTGGACTTATCTCCAAAGTATTCTCTGCCTAGTATGGTGTGTGCACCCAAGGACTTTTCATTAAATACTTTTATCAAAGCTTATAAATAATAAGCAGAAAAATTAAAGTTGCTACACCTGTCTTAAAATAGGTAGAAAAATTAGCATTACAAAAAATATTTTTAAGAAACAGTCTTAACACTATTTAATCCCTATTTTGTTACTCCTGACTGCTTTAAGAAGTAGTTATGAAATTATTCTAATAAAACATAAATGAATGTTTTTCATGAAATTACTTTATCAATAATTTGGAATAGGCCAAACACTTCTCTTCAAACTTACTTGTTCTATCATCTTGCTTGGCAGATGTAATTTTTCATAATGTAATAGCTTGAGGCTCAGCTCTCCAGATGCACAGACTTGAATAGATCAATTTAACTTTTCTAGGTATCAGGTTTCCCATCCATAAAATGGGAATGATAATGGTATCTTACCTCATCAACTTGATGTCCACCCTTGTACAAATTCTGACACCAACAATCTTAACTGTTCAGAACTTACCTATCAGCCCTGGCCCTGGCTTCTTCATGATCTCTCCAGCCTGAGGAGGTTTCGTGATATTAAAGAAGATGTAGTCATCACTGGAGTCCATGTCTGATGCTCTCAGCATGGAACCCTGGATCAGTATGGTCTGCCCCTCCTCCAGTTCAATCACAATGTTGCTTATGAGGAACGGGGGACTGTCATCTTTGGGCAAGATGTTGATGGGAAACTTATGGCGGATGCTGTGATGGCCATCGAATATCCTGAAGATCACAAAGTCTTTGGTGGAGTCACTGTCGTCATGATGATAGCGAACAACTCCAGCCTGAAGGTCAGCCACAGTGAAGAGAAATCCTTTCCCGCCTGATGGAGAGAGCAGAGATGGAGCTGACTGAATGAGGGGTGCCGAGGGAGCAGCTGTAGTGAAAGCAGCCCTAGAGGAGAGGGCATTGAGGAAAGTGGACCAGCCAATACTTGCCTCACTTAAACAAACAGTCTTGTTTAGTCAACTCTGGGCCTCCACAGATCTGGTTTTGAATACTGGCTGTAACATTAATTACCTGTGAGACTTGGGCAAAGTACTTAATTCGTTTGAGACTCGTCTATAAAATGGATAATAATACCTACCTCATATTCCCTAGTAAGGATGAGAGAACTTAAAGAAGAGTAAGCCTACAAAATATGTTGATTTTTATTAAACTCATTGTTATCCTACATGGCAGCACTTCTTAGAGGGGCAGTCTTAAACCAAGAGCATCAGTACCATCTGGGAAGTTGTTAGAAATGCAAGTTCTGGAGGTAAGCCCCGGCAATCTGTTCTTACTAAACCTCCAGGAGAGTCTGACACATGCTAAAGTTCGAGCATCACTGGCTTATTGCCCAAGAGCTAGAGCTCTGATATCTAATGGCCTGGGTTCAAAGCCCAGTTCAGCCATTTTCTAGGTACATGACCTTAGACAAGTCAACTTCTCTAAATCTCAGGTTCCCCATTTGTAAAGTGGGAATAATAATACTACTTCATTTCATAAAGCTGATATAAGATAAAGTATGTAGAATGCTTTGTATAGTATCTGGCACAAAGAAAATCCTTAATAAATATTAGTACTATTATCTACCTCCTCTGAGCCACATCATCATGGGCTACCACTCTACTCTTCATTTCTACAGTATTAGTAAACATTGCTTCACTCTGCAGAAGTGATTACAATTCTTGATGGCAAGTGCCCCAGTTCTCTCCCTACACTGTATGGTTGTTTTAAAAACCTCATCGGAATAAGTGATTAAACATTCGTATAATAGACACTACAGGTTACTTGCCCAGTAGCCACTTCCTGCTTCTTCACCAGTACCAGATTCTAGTTTTATTTGGAATGGCAATATGACCATTAAAAAACATTCCCAGACTCCATTGCATCTGGGGGTAGTATGTGCTTGGTAGATTTAAGTGGAACCCACTGTATCAGGTTCCTGCGAAAAGTTGTTAAAGAGAGCAAATTAATTAACATAACTTTTTTCATTTCCCTTCTCTTTCTTCCTTCCTGGAATGCAGACCCAAAGTCTGGAGGTGTAGGCACCATCTTTTGACCACTGTCAGAGCAGAAAGAGCTCCTGGCATCATGGATCTGGAATGCCTACCTCTGGGCAACTTGTCACATGAGAAAATAACTCTTGAATTTTTTAAATCACTGTAGCTGGGTGTCCCTTACATGCAGCTGAACATCTACCCTAATTGATATACCCAGGCTTAAGCTGATCTCCTACTCTTCTGGAATTAGGCAAGAGAATTTATCATTTCATTTTTGATTTCAGAATTCCTAATCACAAATGATAATAAATAAGAGCTCCCTTTCTGCTTTATAGTTAGGAATACCAAGAGGATAACTGAATTAAATCCTCTGAGCTCATTATAAGGAATGGACTATATTATCATACAATATGAATATTATTTTATTAGGGCTATTACCTTGTTAACTACTATCCTTGTAATCATAATTAACATAATAACATAATGCTACTAACATAATAACATAATGATTACCAAATATTAAAAAAACTAAGTTTTTCTGTTTTTCAATACATTTTTCTGAATGAGAGAAATGAGAAGGAAATATTTTGTCTTCCAACTGGGATAAGATCATCAGTTGAAGAGTATATTTAGAAGGAGTACTACACGGCATCTGAGATTTAAATAATGAGCCAAGTACAAGATGTTACTCATAAATGGTCATCCAGGGGCACCTGCGTGGCTCAGTCAATTAAGTGTCCAACTTAATTGATTGAGCTCCACATCAGGCTACTTGCTGGGCGTGGAGCCTGCTTAAGATTCTCTCTCTCCCTCTTCCTTGCCCCTCCCCCTTCAATAAATAAATAAGTAAATAAATGAATGGTCATCCACTGATGTGAGCACCCTAACACAAAAGCTAATGGTTTCAAGATCTCCAGATTTTCTGGATATGACAATTTATTTAGAAATGAGGTCTAAGACAGAAGGTTTATTTGAATAAGTCATAGTTGAAAACTTCCCTAATCTGCAGAAGGAAACAGACATCCAAATCCAGGAGGCACAGAGAACTCCCATCAAAATCAACAAAAGTCAGCCAACACCAAGACATATCGTAGTAAAATTTGCAAAACAGAGAGATGAGGAAAGAATTCTGGAAGCAGCAAGGGAAAAAAATTCCTAACCTACAAGGGACGACAAATCAGGTTCACAGCAGATTTCTCCACAGAAATCTGGAAGGCCAGAAGAAAGTAGCATGATATATTCAACACACTAAATGGGAAAAATATGCAGCCAAGAACACTTTATCCAGCAAGGCTATCATTGGGAATAGAAGGAGAGATAGTTTCTGAGACAAACAAAAACTAAAGGAGTTCATGACCACTAAACCAGCCCTGCAAGAAATACTAAAGGGGACTCTTTGAGTAGGAAAGAAAGACCAAAAGCAACAAAGACTAGAAAGGAATCTCCAGAAACACCAACTTTATAGGTAATACAACGGATTTGCAATACAATACAAATATGAATAAATTCATATCTATCAATAATCACTCTGAATGTAAATGTACTAAATGCTCCAATAAAAAGACATAGGGTATCAGAATGGATTAAAAAAATAAAACAAGATCCACCTAATGCTGCCTAAAAGAGACTCATTTTACTTATTTATTTTATTTATTTTTTAAGATTTTTATTTATTTATTTGACAGAGAGAGACACAGCAAGAGAGGGAACACAAGCACGGGAGTTGGAGAGGGAGCAGGGAGCCCGATGTGGGGCTCGATCCCAGGACCCAGGGATCATGACCTGAGCCGAAGGCAGACACTTAACAACTGAGCCACTAGGGTGCCCCGAGACTCATTTTAGACCTAAAGACACCTGCAGATTGAAAGTGAGAGGTTGGAGAATCATCTATCATGCTAATGGATGTCAAAAGAAAGCCAGAGTAGCCATACTTATATCAGACAAACTAGATTTTAAACCAAAGACTGTAAACAGAGATGAAGAAGGACACTATACCATAAGTAAGGGCTCTATCCAACCAGAAGATCTAACAATTGTTCCAAAAAATAGAAATGGAAGGAAAACTTCCAAACTCCTTCTACAAGGCTAGCATTACCTTGATTCCAAAACCAGACAAAGATCCCATTGATAAAAAGAATTCCAGGCCAATAGCCCTAATAAAAATGGATGTAAAAATTCTCAACAAGATATTAGCAAATCGAATCCAACAGTACATCAAAAGAATCATTCACCATGATTAAGTGGGATTTATTCCTGGGCTGCAAACATGGTTCAACATTTGCAAATCCATCAACGTGATACACCACATTAATAAAAGAAAGGATAAGAACCATATGATGCCCTCAATAAATGCAGAAAAAGCACTTGACAAAAACAGCATCCATTCTTGATAAAAATCCTCAACAAAGTAGGGCTAGAGGGAACATATCTCAACATAATAAAGATCATATATGAAAAACCCACAGCTAATATCATCCCCAATAAGGAAAAACTGAGAGTTTTTCCTCTACAGTCAGGAACAAGACAAGGATGTCCAGCAGCAAGGGAAATCACCACTGTCATTTAACACTGTACTGGAAGTCCTAGCCTCAGCAATCAGACAACAAAAAGAAATAAAATGCATCCAAATTGGCAAGGAAGAAGTCCAACATTTCCAGATGCTCCATGATACTCTATGTAGAAAATCTGGACGATTCCACCAAAAAAATTGCTAGAACTGATAGATGAATTCAACAAAGTCACAGGATACAAAATCAATGTACAGAAGTCTGTTGCATTTCTATACACCAATAATGAAGTAGCAGAAAGAGAAATCAAGGAATCAATCCCATTTAAAATTGCAACAAAACCCATAAGATGCCTAGGAATAAACCTAATGAAAGAGGTGAAAGACCTGTACTCTGAAAACTATAGAACACTGATGAAAGAAACTGAAGATAACACAAAGAAATGGAAAAACATTCCATGCTCATGGATTGGAAGAACAAATGTTGTTAAAATGTCTATGCTACCCAGAGCAATCAACGTATTTAACGCAATCCCCATCAAAATACCACCAGCATTTTTCACAGAGCTAGAACAAACAATCCTAAAAATTTGTATGGAATCATAAAAGACCCCGAATAGCCAAAGCAATCTTGAAAAAGAAAAACAAAGCTGGAGGCATCACAATTCCAGACTTCAAGCTCTATTACAAAGCTGTCATCATCAAGACAGTATGGTACTGGCACAAAAACAGACACATAGATCAGTGGAACAGAATAGAGAATATAGAAATGGACCCTCAACTCTATGGTCAACTAATATTCAATAAAGCAGGAAAGAATGTCCAAACAAGAAAGAATCTCCAACAAAGCAGGAAAGAATATCCAATGTCAAGACAGCAGGAAAGAATGTCCAAAGAAAAAAGTCTCTTCAACAAATGGTGTTGGGAAAACGGGACAGCAACATGCAAAAGAATGAAACTGGACCACTTTCTTACACCATACACCAAAATGAATTCAAAATGGATGAGGGGTGCCTAGGTGGCTCAGTCGTTGGGCATCTGCCTTTGGCTCAGGTCATGGTCCTGGGGTCCTGGGATCGAGCCCCGCACGGGCTCCCTGTTCGGCGGGAGGCCTGCTTCTCCTTCTCCCACTCCTCCTGCTTGTGTTCTCTCTCTCACTCTCTGTCAAATAAATAAAAATCTTTAAAAATAAATAAATAAACAAAATGGATGAAATACCTAGACGACACAAACAATCAAAATCCTAGAGAACACAGGCAGTAACCTCTTCGACCGTGGCCACAGCACTTCTTACAAAATATGTCACCACAGGCAAGGGAAACAAAGGCAAAAATGAACCATTGGGACTTCATCAAGATAAAAAGCTTCTGCACAGTGAAGGAAATAACAAAACTAAAAGGCAACCTACGGAATGGGAAAAGATATCCAAATGACATATCAGATAAGGGGTTAGTAGCCAATATCTACAAAGAACTTAGCAAACTTAGCAAGAAACCAATAATCCACTTAAGAAATGGGCAGAAGACATGAATAGACATTTTTCCAAAGAAGACATACAAATGGCCAACAGACACATGAAAAGATACTCAACATCTCTCATCACCAGGGAAATACAAATCAAAACTCCAATGAGATATCACCTCACATCTGACAGCATGGCTAAAATGAACACAGGAAACAACAGATGTTGGCAAGGATGCAGAGAAATGGGGACCCTCTTACACTGTTGGTGGAAATGCAAACTGGTGCAGCCAATTTGGAAAACAGTATGGAGTTTCCTCAAAAAGTTAAAAATAGAACTACCCCATAACCCAGCAATTGCACTACTAGGTATTTACCCAGTGGATACAAAAATACTGATTTGAAAAGGTATATGCACCCCAATGTTTATAGCAGCATTATCAACAATAGCCAAATTATGGAAAGAGCCCAAATGTCCATCGACTGATGAATGGATAAAGAAGTTGTGGTATATACATATATATAATGGAATAATACTCAGCCATCAAAAAGGATGAGATCTTGCCATTTGCAAGGACATGGATAGAACTAGAGTGTTTTATGCTAAGCAAAATAAGTCAGTCAGAGAAAGACATATTCCATATGATTTCACTGATATGTGGAATTTAAGAAATAAAACAGATGAACATGGGGGAGGGGAAAAAAGGAGAGAGGGAAGCAAACAATAAGAGACTCTTAACTATAGAGAACAAACAGGATTAACGGAGGGGAGGTGGGTGGGGGGTGGGCTAAATGGGTGATGGGTATTAAGGAAGGCACTTGTTGTGATCAGCACTGGGTATTGTATGGAAGTGATGAATCATTAAATTCTACTTCTGAAACCAGTATCACATTATATGTTAATCAACTAGAATTTAAATAAAAACTTTAAAAAAAAAAGAGAGAAAGAAATGAGGCCCAAGAGATGCTATGTACATCCTGTCAAATATGATCTGCCTTTGGAGAAAATACTTCTTAGGTTCTCTTTTAGGTCGGAGAGACTGATCTTTCACCTCTTAGTGTAAGCCGTCCATGCAGCAGGCCGCCCACGGTGACCAGCTGGACAGCATGGATGTCATCATTGTCGACAATCTGAAACTGTTCCCAAGTGATGGCCCGAGACTGCCCCTCTAGAAGACTCAGACCTACAAAAGAAAACAGAAAAGTGTCCTAGAAAGTTCTGTGACATGCCAACATGCCTACTTTAAGACAAGATTAATGAATTTTCATTCACGAAACTAGCTGAAAATTGTATCTTTGAAAGCTTTTCAAGAAATTTGAATTTAGCTTTTATTTTTAGTAATATTTCTTTTTTTAAGATTTATTCATTTAGCTGAGAGAGAGAGAGTGCAGAGGGGAGGGGCAGAGGGAGAGGGAGCGGGAAACTCAAGCAGACTCCATGCTCACCATGGAACCCAATGCGGGGCTTGATCTTATGACCCCGAGAACATGATCTGAGCTGAAACCAAGAGTCAGACGCTTAACCGACTGAGCTGCCCAGGCACCCCATATTTTTAGTAATATTTCTACTTTTTTTAAGATTTTATTTATTTGACAGAGAGAGAGAGAGGGAGAGAGAGAACACAAGTAAGGGGAGTGGGAGAGGGAGAAACAGGCTCCCCACTGAGCAGGGAGCCCCGACTCGGGGCTCGATCCCAGGACCCTAGGACCATGATCCAAGTCGAAGACAGAGACCTAACCGACTGAGCTACTGAGGCGCCCTGTAATATTTCTACCTTTAATACTATTCACCCCAATCTGACAACTGGTTCCTTATATATCCATTGGAGGCATGGTGGTGCCAGAAAATAAATAAAGGAAAGAATGGATGTTATGTTCATGGTAGTCTCTAGTTCAAAAATGTCCACAAGGAATTTTTCAAAGATGACATCTAGATATTTCAAGCGGGCAAAAGAATCAGAAGAGCTTTTCTATATAAGTTGGGAGTGCAAGAGTAGCTCGCAGGACAGAGAATGTAAAGTGGGTAACTGTGCAAATACGGAGCTACTCTGCTAAGGGAGTGTTTAACGGTATTAGACATGAAGTGTCTGACACCGCAATGAGGGCTGAATTTTATTCTAGGCTCTAATAAAGAAGGGACTTTTGTAACTAGAGGAAATGGAATAAAACCTTCTCCTTGGACCCAGCATGCTGGAGGAAATCTAGGGAGAGAGGGAAAGTGCTGCTCAGAGCAGCAAGAATATAGATCCTGGACAGAACACTCCAGTGAAAAACAGGGAGCTGAAAGCATCACCAACCATTCCCATTATTCAGGAGATCCAGGAGCTGACAGATTGCAAAGAATCTTAAATGGGAGCAAAACTTTTTAAGGAAACAAGTTGATAAAACTTAAAGGCAGTGTCCTGGTGGACCAGATGACGCTCCCTTTCAAACCTGCCCAGCTTTCCCTGCCACCCACCCCCCACCCGGCCGTGACCACGTGCCTGCCTTCTCACAGCAGCAGCCCCATGTGGGTCCCCACAGTCCCCACAACTGTAAAGTCCCGGCTGCCACCATTGCCTCATCTTCTGGTATGTGGCTGGTTACTCAACCGTCCTCTTGGGCAAAGGCCAGCTTGTGGCATGCCCTACCTTTGTGACCACGGCCAAGTCCTACACCAGGGGACCAAGGGAGTTTCTGTAGCAGCCGCAAAGAGGGGTCAGGCAGCTCATCATGGACATGTGGGGAGCTGACCTCCAGGGAGGCAAACTGACCACAGTGAGCCAGGAGACGGGAAGGAGCTAAGAGAGAGACCATCCACATTTTCCCCAGCCCACCTCTGACTCCGCCCACACACAGTGGCTCCGTCTCCGGGAGACACCAGCCCAACATAGCAGCCAACCTCACTTCCTCATCGACTTAGTCACGCCACCTTTTTATCTGTTTCCCACACTGCCTTTCCCTCTCATTCTTGTTTGCAGTATAGGGTTAGTTTATTTGACCTGCCTCAAGGGCTGCTGACTAGGAAACCTGGGATAAGAGACACAGTCTGGAGAGAGAGACAAAGACAGTCTGGAGAGAGAGACAAAGAGAGAGAGAGAGGAAGAAAGGAAAGAAGGAAGGGAGGAAAGACAGGGAGGACAAGCACATATCAAGAATCTCTGTGAGGGGCGCCTGAGTGGCCTAGTCGGTTAAGTGTCCAATTCTTGGTCTTGGCTCAGCTCTTGACCTCAGGGTCGTGAGTTCAAGCCCTGCACTGGGTTCCATGCTGGGCGTGGAGCCCACTTAAAATAAAATAAAAAAAATCTCTGTGACTGGTAATAAGGGTTTTGAAGCCAAGAGTGTGTGGTACAGCATAGTACAAGGCATCATGGGACACAGCAGAAGAGCAAGCAAGACTAGAAGTATAGATAGCAAAATATTAACAGTGGTTCTGTCTTCGTGGTGGAGTAATAAATGGTATTATTCATTCATTACTGTTTCATTCATTTATTCATTACTATCCATTCATTATTATTATCATTGTTATGCATTCATTCAAGTTATTGTTTAATGTACTTTCCAAGTTTTCCATGATGAACATATATTAAGTTCATAATAAGTAAAAATTCATTTTAAAAAAGATTCTCATGTCCAAAGTAGCCAAAACCAGATTTGGAGCTCTCTTAACAAACTTTCACAGATTATACAGACTATTAAATCTCTACACTCAAGCAATAATCTGCTTAATATGTGATTCTCACTAAACTTCAGGTTATCAATTCCTTCTTTTCTTTCATTATCCCTCTAACAGAAGTAGAGTGGGACATAAAAGCAGCAAGACTGCTCAACCAGTGTGGTCCTCACAACTGAAACTCACACACATACAAACCCGTGTGTGTGTGTACCTGCGTGCAAGGGCTTACACATACATACATACACACACACACACACACTGACAAGCCTAAGCCACCACTTGAGGATTTAAATCAGAGATATTTTCCCCTTATCAGAACCTACAACCACTACTTATAAGTATGTTTTGAATGCTATCAGTGGGATCAGTGGGAAAGGAAAAAATCTTCATTTACATTCCACATTTACATCTGCTCTAAATATATACATTGCATTAAAGACCACTCAGAAGTGACCTTCTTTTACAATAAATAAAGCAATTTAAGCTCGTTATTCACGTATGATGGTTTCCTTGCATGTCCTAAAAACAGGACAATGAATTAGTCTACATCTTCCTTCCCTCCTCTGAACAGAGTTGGAGACCTTTTCTCTCTCTGTCCAATTATAGCTCAATATCACAAATAGTCACTTTTTGGCCTCATTCAGTTGAAAGGTGTTCCTTCTGGCTTAGTTCCTCCAGAGGAAAAACTTGGCTTCACCACACAGGAATCCTGCATTTAAATTTCTCACCCTGCTGGTAGGAAAAACAAAACAAAACAAAAACAGCTCTCTGATTGCCTTCACTGGTCTGGGTTTCAGTTGCCTCATGCATGAAATGGGAAGAAACGACCTTTCTTTCCTGACCCATATAATTTCCCGTCCTCCCTTCAGGGTTCTGTAGCTTGATGCCCTACACGGAGCTTCACCTGTGTTCCAGGACACTCGGGGGGCATTTGTATCCGCTGTTCTGACGGAGATGTGGACAGTGATAGGTGCACTCCTTTCGAAGAAGAAGTCATAAACCTCCACCTCCACCTGTAAACAAACCGTTGCATAAGAATCACACATTGACAATTTATAACATAAAATACCATTGTTCCTGGGGCAGACACCACAGATGGAGGCAAAACAGATTTAGGTTTCTGCTGTTCCCTGATGTCATTTTTCTTAAAGATTCATTTATTTATTTTAGAGACGGGGGGGGGGGGGGGGGGCAGGGGGAGGGGCAGAGGGAGAGAGGCAGGCTCCCTGCTGAGGGTGGAGCCCAATGCGGGGCTCAGTCTCACAACCCTGAGATCACAATCTGAACCAAAATCAAGAGTTAGATGCTTAACTGACTGAGCCACCCAGGCGCCCCACCTGATCTCATTTTTGACAGCCTGATCTCACGTTTTCAGGCTCTAGATTTTGTTCCTTAGTTAACAGTATTTTTAAATTTTCCTCTCCATGAAAGAAGCTTTTAACCTGAAATAAACAAATACGCTGAAGAAGGTCCCTGCAATTGCTCAGGAGACCAGCATCAGACCACTCAATTCTCTCTCAAAGGTATAGGGTCTAGAGAAGTGCATCTTAACTAAGGGGACTTTGTTCCCCCAGGGGACATTTGGGAATGTCTGGAGATATTTTTGGTCTCACGAATGGGTATGCGTGGTGGGCGGTACTACTGGCCACTAAACAGAGGATGGAGGCCAGGGATGCTCCTATTACTACCATGCACGAGACAGCCCCCACAACAAAGAATTATCCAGTGCAAATTGCCAATGGTGCTGCTTTTAAGAGACCCTGGTCTACAGGCATCTATCTCTCCAAACATATTTTTAAATATCCAGATTGTATTTGCTTCCATGAAATCCATAGCTAATAAATGGGGCTATATGAGAAGTTTTTAAAAATATTTTATTTATTTGAGAAAGCATGAGAGAGAGCACGAGCAGGGGGTGGGGGGTGCAGAGGGAGAAGCAGGCTCCCCACTGAGCAGGGAGCCCGACACAGGGCTCAATCCCAGGACCCCGGAATCATGACCTGAGCCAAAGGCAGATGCTTAACCAACTGAGCCACCCAGGTGACCCATTAAGTTTAGAACCTTATTATGTATTATGTATTATGCACATATTGCACCAGGTGCTGACAGGGAAGGATGATTTATATGACAGAAATGCAAGGCACATGCCCATTCTTGAAGAATGTCCATTTGACATCAAATGTCCATTTGGTCCATTAGAGAGCATAAATTATCAAACGGCAACATATCAGCAAATACTACCTCACAAAAGAAACAGATTCCAGGCTGCCACAGTAACAGACTAAAAATGGAACCATAACCCAGTAGGGATGTGTTTTGGAGGTGTAAGGTAAATATCTATTAGGTTGAGCCATATGAAATTGTAGGTCACGTGCTCACTAAGAAACACTGTTCTCAAACCAACAGAGTACCTAGTAAAATGAGCTTGAATTTTCATGGCTGAAAGGATGGACCACCTTGGCATTACAGTGCAGGGAAGGTTCAGCTAGCTTCAGGAGCCCTAGACATTGCTCTGCCCTCAGGGGTCCCACCCCAGGTGGCTGACTGAGCCCAGGGCTTCCAGCCCATGTAATCTGCAAAGCACCTAATCTCCACTGAGAAAATTGAGAGTCACCTTCTAACAACAACGGCAAAATCACACATTTGAACAGGTTCTGCTTTAAGATTACATTATATGATCCCAGAAAAGACACACAGGAAGCAGCCAGAATAGCTGTGCTTTATTTATGAGTTCAAGGTAAAACTCGGCGTCGAATGAGAAATTACTTTATAATATGGAAGGCATGGGAGGCGAGAGGAAGAAAGAAAAAAAACAGCTGCCACTTACTATTATGAAGAAAAGAAAAGAAAAAAAAAGAAAAAAGAAAAGGAAAGGAAAGAGCAAAAGCATGGCATTTACAGTCTGAAGTCTTTTGTCTGCCCTGGAGGCTAAATGCTGAAAATGCTTAAATTAGATGAAGGACAATTTGGAACACCAGGCACACTCATTTTCCTTAATAAACCTGAAGTCAAGTCTCTATCAATTTGCTCATTTAAACATTCCATCCTGTTTGAATCAACTTGCTGGTAGGTCTGTAAGTTTGTGAAGACTGTCACCAGCTGTTCTCAACTCCCATCCAAAACAAAATTAGAGGAAAGAGGCTGGAATAGCAGCCAAAGGTACTTAGATTAGACAGGAAGGGGACTATCCTGAGTCGGCGTTATTCATTAAAATCAAGGATCCCAGTAAAACAGTCATCCAAACAAAAAGGAATAATAAGATTTATTTTTTTAAAGATTTGATTTATTTCACAGAGAGAGAGACAGAGAGAGAAGGAACACAGGAAGGGGGAGTGGAGAGGGAGAAGCAGGCTTCCTGCCGAGCACAGAGCCCGATGCGGGGCTCGATCCCAGGACCCCAGGATCATGACCTGAGCTGAAGGCAGACACTTAACAACTGAGCCACCCAGGTGCCCCAGGAATAACAGAATTTATTAATGAGGGACGCCTGGGTGGTACAGTGGGTTGAGTGTCCGACTCTTGGTTTCAGCTCAAGTGATAATCTCAAGGTCACAGGATCGAGTCCCACATGGGGCTCCACACTCAGCACAAGGTCTACTTGAGATTCTCTCTCCCTTCCCTTGCCCCTCCCACTTGTGCTCTCTCTCTCTCAAATGAATAAATAAATCTTTAAAATAAAAAGACTTTGTTAATGAAAGGATTGCAGACAAAGTCATCTCTAAGTTCCATGGTCTATGCCAGGCAGAAAGACCGTCAAGGACACAAGAGTTCTTAAACTGGTGAGCTCTGGGCCAAATGTGGCCCTCAGAAGTATTTTGTGGCTGGCACAATATGCTTTAGAACATTTAATATGTACTCTGTATTTAAAAATTGAAACATTTGTACAAAACACTTACAGATTTCCAAGTCCTCTGAAGAATAAGAGCTAAGCCTACCCCAAATTGTCTGTATTCACACAGGACGGCAATCACTAGTGCTCCGATGCAGCAGCCTCTGAAATTGTCAGCTCTTTCTTCCACTCCCCACCGTCTCCCCCCAGGCGGGTTTGCTCATTGGCATCACCAGCGGCTCCTCTAGGCATTTGAATCTGCATCTAGATCGACAGTGATTGATTCTCTTCTGAGGCACTGACATGCAAACTAACCTGAAGGTGCAGGGAAGTGGCCTGCCTCTTCAGTAACTCTGTGGATAGCAGACGGGCCAGTCGCTTTGTCTCCCTTTCTTCCTACCTCGTAATGTCTCCGCGCAGAATAGCTGCTGTTCGGTGGCTGGTAGGCTATCTGCATGTCACTCAGATCTTTCCAGGTGAACGAGGAGACCGGTCTGGTGTGATCCCACAGATGAGTCACGTAGCCCTGGGGCGGGGCTTTCGTAACGTTGAACACCAGCAAGGGCTTAGGGGTCTCATCCTCTTCACAGTCCAGGACGGATGTAGTCAAGGAGGTCAGGATGAACTGATCCACTTCCAGAATAAACATGGCCATGAACGCGGCCCTTGGAATCTGATTAGGAAAGCCAGCTCTGATATAGACGGGCAACCACGCACTCTCTGACTTTTGAAGGGGAAAGAAAATACGGAGGGGAAACAATATGAATGAAGCTATCACATACATGGTTAATAGTATGTAGATGGTGTGTCTGGCAATGACCTGAAACCTGGCTGCACATTAGAATCACTGGAGAGTTTTAAACACATACTGATGCCCAAGCTCCATCTCCACAGGTTCTAATTTAATTCTTGCAAAAAAGGGAAACTGAGGGTTGCTGGAGTGGTGGGGGGTGGGAGGGATAGGGAGGCTGGGTGATAGACATTGGGGAGGGTATGTGCTATGGTGAGCACTGTGAATTGTGCAAGACTGTTGAATCACAGATGTTGAATCACAGATCTGTACTTCTGAAACAAATAATGCAACATATGTTAAAAAAAAAAAAAAGAAAAAATAAGATAGCAGGAGGGGAAGAATGAAGGGAGGGAAATCGGAGGGGGAGACGAACCATGAGAGACTATGGACTCTGAGAAACAAACTGACGGTTCTAGCGGGGGGGGATGGGTTAGCCTGGTGATGGGTATTAAAGAGGGCACGTTCTGCATGGAGCACTGGGTGTTATACACAAACAATGAATCATGGAACACTACATCAGAACCTCATGATGTAACGTGCGGTGATTAACATAATAAAAAAAATGGTTGCAAAAAGGGACCAGAAAACTGGTATTTTTAAAAGCTCTCTGGTGACTCTAATATGTAGCCAGGATTGAAAGTGGACATTCGTTTTGGCATCAGAAGGAACCATCCTTTTGATTCTATTTCCAGCACTTATGATTTGTGTGATTTTAAACAAGCTATTTAACTCCTAAGCCTTTTCCCCCCATTTGTAAAATGCAAATGCTGGACCCCCAAGTAATAAGTGAGGATTAAATGAGATAGCCAAAGTAAAGCACTTAGCAGTGTCTGGCATACCTCACCTACCTCCTCCGGCCACCCTGTCCACTTCCTGCCATGTGGTTTGAACGAGGGCAAAGGCAGGATGAAGGAAAATGTCTCCATAACTCAGTACTCACATGCAACTGAAGGATGGTGGTTCAGCTGTCCAGTTAGTTAAGACCCTGAGTCCCCAGGTGATGAGTAGGTAATTAAAACTGAAAGCTACCAATCAGGTTAGAAATGTACCCTCAAATGAGAGAGCTATGAGCAAGCGGCCCCAATAATGGGGATCTCCAGAGAAACCAGGAAATTGCATCTTGGGATCTGAGGTGTCAACAGGTGCTATGAGGAAGAATCCTCAAAGCAAGAGATGCTGGTTATCATGGGATTTGGTGTTTCACATTGTTAAGAATGACCCTGAACGATAAGAGTCACATACAATATGCAGAACGCTGGATATTGGACTAGAAGTTGTAATCTGCATGTAACGAAATGATAAAAACAGAATTCTTTTTTGGTTTAGTCTCAACTGAAGCTCCAATGAAAGAGATATCAGATTTCAAAGTGAATGTGACACCGATACTATAGGCAGTATTTACAAAGCAAATTGTCTGGAACTGGTCTAGAACCCTCTCACCCACTACAAGAACAGAAAAGGGTTGAGAGGGGTAAGAGAAAGATTTATTTGTAGAGAAGAGTGCTTTGCTGTGCTGAGTCACTCCCTCGATCCCCAACCCCACCCAACTCCATGAAGAGGAAAGGTGGGCAATGCTACATTTGTCCTGGGTGTCAGGACAGAAGTTTCCTTGAGGCCAGCCTTAAATGTATCTTTACATTTAAATTAAATGTATCTTTACATTTGTAAAGATACAAATGTATCTTTACATTTACATCTTTACACAATCAGAGGACTGATGCTTGGCTCATACAGGAGGAAGCGAAGGGGCCAGACGCAGAAAATACTGGTGCCTCTTCTGGGATCTGCCTAGCTTTTGTTTGTGGCAAGGAAAAACATATGGGGGCTCCCACATATGGGCTGAGTGGGACAGAGGGTTGGTTTGGGGTCATCCTGGACCCTGACTTTTTGGGGGCATCTGTGAGAAGCCAAAGAAAGTCAGAAACAGGCAGCTGGGGATGGAAATAATCCTAGGAGCTATGGGAGAAATTGCAAGTGAATACTCAGGCTAGAAATGAATCCTCTGGAAATCCACCAGAAGACCACCTCCAGGATGGGAGATCCCCAGAGAAACCACAAAATTGTCCCAGAGATAAAAAAGCTGGAAACACTTGCCACAGTTACAGAGCATTAAGTTATATTCCATCAGTGTTTGATCAAATAAGACCTCTCTCCCCAATGCTCTGCACAAACCAAGCCCCCTAAGACCAGAAATTCCAAAACCAGCCAGCAAAACTCAAAAGAGAGAAGTGCAACAGAGAAAGAGAAAAGACAATCAACCCCCTCTCCTCCCACTGCATGCTTAATGAAGACAAATTAATAATATGCTGAGACATCTCAGGGTTCAGAGTATCTATTCTTCACATGCCATTTAAAAAAATTGTTTAAAGGGGTGCCTGAGTGGCTCTGTTAGTTAAGCATCTGACTCCTAATCTCAGCTCAAGTCTTGATCTCAGCTCAGATCTTGATCTCAGGGTTATGAGTTCAAGCCCCACACTGGGCTCCACGCTGGACATGGAGCCTACTTTAAAAAAAAATTATTTAAAAAGTCGTAATGTAGGGGTGCCTGGGTGGCTCAGTTGTTAAGCGTCTGCCTTCGGCTCAGGTCATGATCCCAGGGTCCTGGGATCGAGCCCCGCATCGGGCTCCCTGCTCCATGGGAAGCCTGCTTCTCCCTCTCCCACCCCCTCTGCTTGTGTTCCTCTCTCGCTGTGTTTCTGTCAAAAAATAAATAAAATCTTTAAAAAATAAAAAATAAATAAAAAGTCATAATGTTGAAAATTCAAGAATGGGGAAATCATGGTATAAAAGGACTGGTGCTGAACAGTAAGAACATTAAGAGTAGGGGACTTTAACACCCCACTCACTAATGGACAGACTGTCTAAGCAGAAGATCAACAAGGAAATAAGGGCTTTGAATGACACACTGGACCAGATGGACTTCACAGATATATTCAGAGCGTTCCATCCTAAAGCAACAGAATACACATTCTTCTCAAGTGCACATGGAACATTCTCCAGAATAGATCACATCCTAGGTCACAAATCCAGTCTCAACTGGTACCAAAAGATTGGGATCATTCCCTGCATATTTTCAGACCACAATGCTTTGAAACAGGAACTCAATCACAAGAGGAAATTTGGAAAGAACTCAAATACATGGAGGCTAAAGAGCATTCTACTAAAAAATGAATGGGTCAAGTGGAAAACTAAAGAAGAATTTTAAAAATTCATGGAAACAAATGAAAATGAAACATACCTGTTCAAAACCTTTGGGATGTAGCAAATGCAGTCCTAAAGGGAAGTATATAGCAATACAAGCGTTCTCAAGAAACAAGAAGGGTCTCAAATACACAACCTAATCTTATACCTAAAGGAGCTGGAGAAAGAACAGCAAACAAAGCCTAAACCCAGCAGGAGAAGAAAATTAATAGATTAGAACAGAAGCCAATGAAATAGAAACCAAAAGAACAGTGGAACAGATCAACGAAACTAGGAGCTGGTTCTTTGAAAGAATTAATAAGACTGACAAACCCCTGGCCAGACTTACCAAAAAGAAAAGAGAAAGGACCCAAATAAATAAAATCATGAATGAAAGAGGAGAGATCACAACCAACACCGAAGAAAAACAAACAATTATGAGACTGTATTATGAGGAACTATATGCCAACGTATTAGGCAATCTGGAGGAAATGGATGCATTCCTAGAGACATATAAACTACCAAAACTGAAACAGGGAGAAAGAGAAAACCTGAACAGACCCATAACCAGCAACCTCTTCGACATCAGCTGCAACAACTTCCAGCTACACACGTCTCCAACAGCAAGGGAAACAAAGGCAAAATATTTATTTTAAAAATAAATAAAGGAAATACAATTTTAGCATTTAATTGATCAGCAAGGGAAACAGAGGCAAAAATGAACTATTGGGACTTCATCAAGATAAAAAGCTTTTGCACAGCAAAGTAAACAGTCAACAAAACCAAAAGACAACCGACAGAATGGGAGAAGATATTTGCAAATGACATAGCAGATAAAGGGCTAGTACCCAAAATCTATCAAGAATTTACCAAACTCAACACCCAAATAACAAATACAAATCAAAACCTCAATGAGATGCCACCTCCCACCAGTCAGAATGGCTAAAATTAACAAGTCAGGAAACGACAATTTTTGGTGGGGATGCGCAGGAGGGGAACCCTCCTACGCTGCTGGTGGGAATGCAAGCTGGTGCAGCCACTCTGGAAAACAGTATGGAGGTTCCCCAAAAAGTTGAAAACAGAGCTACCCTATGACCCAGCAATTGCACTACTGGGTATTTACCCCAGTAAATGTAGTGATCCAAAGGGACACCTGCACCTCAATGTTTATAGCAGTAATGTCCACAATAGCCAAACTACGGAAAGAACCTAGATGTCCATTGACAGATGAATGGGTAAAGATGTGTTTTATATGTATATATACAACAGAATACTACTCAGCCATCAAAAAAATGAAATCTTGCCATTTGCAATAACGTGGATTGAACTAGAGGGTATTATGCTAAGTGAAGTAAGTCAATCAGAGAAAGACAAGTATCATATGATCTCACTGATATGAGGAATTTGAGAAACAAGACAGAGGATCATAGGGGAAGGGAGGGAAAAATGAAACAAGATGAAACCTGAGAGGGAGACAAACCAGAAGAGACTCTTAATCTCAGGAAACAAACTGAGGGTTGCTGGAGTGGAGGGGGTGGGAGGGATGGGGTGGCTGGGTGATGGACACTGGGGAGGGTATGTGCTATGGTGAGCGCTGTGAATTGTGTAAGACTGATGAATCACAGAACTGTACCCCTGAAACAAATAATACATTATATGTTAATTTTTAAAAAATTAAAAAAAATTTAAAAAGTAAACAGTTGACCAAAAGACAACCAGCAGAATGGGAGAAAATATTTGCAATCGTCTTATCAGATAAAGGGCTATTATCCAAAATCTATCAAGAACTTACCAAACTCAACACCCAAAGAACAAATAATCCAATCAAGAAATGGCAGAAGACATGAACAGACATTTCTGCAAAAAAGACATCCAAATGGCCAACAAACATGAAAAAATGCTCAACATCACTCTGCATCAGGGAAATACAAATCAAAACCACAATGAGATACCACCACACACCAGTCAGAATGGCTAAAATTAACAAGTCAGGAAATGACAGATGTTGGCAAGGATGTGGAGAAAAGGAAACCCCCTTACACTGCTGGTGGGAATGCAAGCTGGTGCAGCCACTCTGGAAAACAGTATGGAGGCTCCTCAAAAAGTTGAAAATAGAGCTACCCTCCGATCCAGCAATTACACTACTGGGTATTTACCCAAAAGATACAAATGTAGTGATCCAAAGGGGCACGTGAACCCCAATGTTTATAGCAGCAATGTCCACAATAGCCAAAACATGGAAGGAACACAGATGTCCATTGACGGATGAATGGATGAAGAAGACGTGGTATATATATACAATGGAATACTACTCAGCCAACAAAAAAATGAAATCTTGTCATTTGCAACAATGTGGATGGAACTAGAGGGTATTATGCTAAGTGAAATAAGTCAATCAGAGAAAGACAGTCATCATAGGATCTCACTCATATGTGAAATTTAAGAAACAAAAGAGAGGATCATAGGGGAAGAGAGGGGAAAAGTAAAACAAGATGAAATCAGAGAAGGAGACAAACCATAAGAGACGCTTAATCACAGGAAACAAACTGAGGGTTGCTGCGGGGGGATGGGGTAACTGGGTGATGGACATTAAGGAGGGCACGCGATGTAATGAGCACTGGGTGTTATGTAAGACTGATGAATCACTGAATTCTACCTCTGAAACTAATAATACATTGTTAATTGAATTTAAATTTTAAAAATTAAAAAAAAAGACACTGTGGGCAGTTGATATTGATAAAATATACAAGACAAGGATTCTTATAAGCATCATTATATTTAATATTCTGGCCGAACCAGTGGGGAACAAAGCAAAAATAAGAGGAATAATTACTGAAAAAGAAAGAACAAAATTATCATCATTAGTGAAAGATATAATTATGGTCTTCCAAAGCCCAAAGAACTGAAAAATTCTTAGAATAATTGAATTCAAGAAAGAAGCCCGATAAAAGAAAATTATACCAAAAAATAGCTTTCCTATTTATCATCAGTAACCAAAGAGAAGATATAATGGAGGGAAAAGTGTCTATTCACAGTAATTTCCCAAAAGCAAACTGCCTAGGACTGGACTTAATAAGTGTGCTCAACTTACATGAAGAAAACTGCAAATTTTACAGAAACACATCAAAGAACATTTGCCTAGATGAAGTGAGGTCCCTCATTTCTGGATGAGAAGGCTCAATGGGTAAATGTTCTAATATTCCAATTATTTCCAAAATACTTTATAGTTTTAATCCAATCCTGATAAAAATACTTAGGGACTTTTCTTTAATGAACATAAATGATTTAATTCTTTATTGAGAACTAAGATTAGGTGAGAATGGGTAAGAAAACTTTGAAGAGAAGTGATAAGAAAGAACTTGCCTGTAAAATATTAAAGTGTATTATTGACCTTTTATATTTAGAATAACTGATACTGGCACAGAAATAAGGAGGTATATCTAAGGAACAAAAGAGCTAGCCTTGAAATAGTATACAGAGTATCTTTCCAGTCAATAGAAGAAGCATCAAAAACCAATGAGAAACAGGTTCATTATTCAACAAATAGTGCTGAAAATTTTGACTACTTGGGAAAAAAACTGTTCCTGTGTGATAAATATGATAAAATTCACAATATGATAAAATTCATTTCAGATCAATTAAAAGGGCAAATGTAAACAAGAAAACCTTAAGAATCTAGAAGAAATCATGGATGAAATAGTCATTTAGTCACTTGATGAGGGAGGATAGACTGTACACGTATAAAAACAATAAAATAACAAGATTCAAAATCTTCAAATATAGCATAAATTCAGTCGCCTAAAACAAAACCAACATTGGGGTGCATGTCTCCTTACCGTGTGTGTGTATGTGTGCGTGTAATAAGTGGGAGAAATATAACTCGTTTTGCTTTCTTATTTTGCTTTCTGTGTGTTTTTCAAAAAAATATTCTCTGCAGTAAACATATGACTTTGATATTCATAAAAGACTGTGTTTTATGACATGCCAAATTGCCTATGGAGTAGGTTAATTAATAAAACAAGAAGGTCATTTTAAGGAGTAAAATCCCAAACTGATCTAAAAAATATAAACAATAAAGCCCTAACTCAATATAGAGAGGCAAAATAGAAAAATCAGTCAGGAAGAAAAATGGGTCTAATTTTTTAAATGGAGATAAGAAGTCAATAAAAGTGAAAGTTTTGGGGTGCCTGGCTGGCTCAGTCTGTTAAGTGTCTGACTCTTGATTTCGGCTTGGGTGGTGATCTTGGGGTCCTGGGATCGAGCCCTGCATCAGGCTCTGCATTGAGCATGGAGCCTGCTTGAGATTCTCTCTCTCCTTCTCCTTGTGCTCCCCCTCCTGCCTGCCCCCACTCACTCTCTCTCTCAAAATAAAATAAAACAAAAGTAAAGTAAAAATCTTTTTGTGTCAAAAAGATGAGAAGATATCTACTAATAGTTAGGAGACCTAGGAATTAGTCTTGGCTCAGTCATAAAATGGCTGTGTATGTATGGGCAAGGTATGCAATTTCTCTGACCACCATTATACAACAAGATGTTTGGGCTAAGCCAGTTGTTTCCAAACCTAGCTGGTGATCCATTTTTTCCCCCAGGTGGCTTTTTTTAACTAGCAAAATATACACAATGCTTATTATGTGCCAGGCTTTGTGCCAACTGCTTTATAAGTATTATCTCATTTATTTCTCTCAATTACTCTAAGAAGTAGGTTCTATCATTCCCATTTTAAGATTTTTTAAAATGAGGCATAAAATCCAAAGTGAAATAGCTAGTTAAACAGACATTTGAAGCCAGGCAAACAGGGCCCAGCATTCATGCTCTTAGCTATTAATGTTAGGCTCAGAACTCTATCCTTTAAAATTCACCAAGTGATTTGCCTAATCAATTTGATCAGACCATCTCTAAGTTTTTTTTTAACCTCAATTCTAAAATTTTCTGATCCTGTTTTGTCATTTTCTCATTTTTTTTTTATCTTATCAATTCCTTGGGAGTGACAATGCTCAATATCTGAGTTTCTTGGGAGATATCTGGTGAGAAGTCAAATTTTGAAAGAGGGAGGTCTTTCATGAATATAATCTTGGATCATCTTATATCAGCACAAAATCCAAGCTGTTTCAGCAGGTACACAGTTGCCCCAAATAAAACAAATTATAGATTATATGAATCAGTTGAATAGCATGTTAAATATTTCATATAAATTGATTTCATCTTCTACCTTCATTTCAATGTGAGGAGATCAATAGGAGGAAAGCCAGGAGGAGTTGAAAGAGACTGACAGATGGAGGAGGCCTTGGGGGGGTGCCTGTCTCCTTGATTACCTGGTCTTCCATCTCAGAGTCTAAAAGAGTGAGTAGGATATAATCTGCTACACCCATAATGCTGGGACTGAGTTTCCCCTTGCTCTTAGTCTCCCACGGCCTAGTCTAGTCGATATGTGGGCCCCCTAATTTCCTCTAACAGGTGAAAAGAGGTTATAACAAAGAAGGGGGGGGATGAAGCCTCAAAGAGAGGGTGCTACAAAAGACCAAATGACAAGCTAAAGAATACTGAAGGGAGGGGGGAAGAAGGGCAGCATGTAAATGGCCCCAGTCCTTCCTCCATTGCCTTAGTGGTGGCAGAGCTAGAAGAGAGGCAGGGAAGGGAAATTATACACGGGTATTCTGCAGTTCTAATGAGTCACTGGGCAGTCCCACCCACGGTAGCTCAGGAACTGGCCCTGGCAGGGCAGCCAGCACAAGCACCCCCATGGAAGTGGCTCTCTTGCTGCAGATCAGCTAGGGATACAGACTCATAACCCCCAACTCTACCTTGTATACGATTTTGCTCCTGCCATCTGTGAGGTCCAGCTGGATAGAGATGTAGTCAATGTTGGGAGAAGGGGGATCCGTGTGTTGATAACGAAGCCCCATCAGCAAGAACTCCTCACAGCTCACATTGACACTTCCCATTTTCTTCAGTCCCAGGGCACAGCTTCCACCTGGACACCTCAGCTCTGTTCCCAGGTCTAGAACACACAGCACTGAGTTAAGACAGTCACTTGAGCATGACTGTAAAATTAAAAAACCAATCCTCCCCCCCGTGGATACTGACTGCCTCAGGAATACCCATGCATACCCTCTAATCATTCACGGAGGGGGTTGGCATTATTCTATAATCCCTAATTTCTTTTCCTGAAAAGAACGGTTGACCAGTTGTCTCCTGAGATCCTTGCCCACTGAAAGTTACACTGAGAGAAAAAATAATAAAATACATGTTCTAATGACCGAACATCCCTGATGAATAGGCCACTCGGTCACGACTGGCCCTCCACAGTCTAGTGCTGGTCTTTCTTCACAGCGTCCACATCCACGGCTCTGTCATGCACTCTCTCCAAGGCTGTTCTACTCGCTGAAATTCTCTACCCACTGTGTTCATCACACCCCTGAGTCCTGATACCTCTCCAAGTCCCCTTAGTCTTTTTACTAAACCCTCCTTTAAGTACTCTTTGGCCGCCTGAACCAACCTGCTCTCTCCCACTAAAAACCACCATCATCTCTGCAATAGTCTCTCTCTCTCTGCCCAACTTCATTTTACACTCTTGTGGGGTGATACCCAGAGGCCACTTATTTTCTGAATGGCCTTTTGTGCAAGCATGCCTTTAGTTGTAAATTGTTGCCCAAATTCAAGGTACTACTATGATTGGGATTATTGGTCTTTCCACAGTGCCTAGAACATTACTGTGCACATAGGAGGTGCCCAAAATACACTGATTAGATGAGTAACAGAAGGAACATTATCCATCAACTCCTCCTGATTTAAACCATGGCTACTGGCCACCTGCTCTACATCAAACTTACCTGCAATCAAAAAATACTTAATAAATACACCACCTACTCTTACTACCACTGCCATTGTCGCTATGAATAATAACAGCTGACAATCAGGGAGCGCTTGCTACGGGCCCGGCACCGTGTGAAGCCCACTTTGTGCATGTGATCTCATTTACTCCATCTTGCCACGAACTTGGGGAGCAGCTACTATCCTTGCTCATTTTACGGAGGCTTAACCAGGTTAGATAACTTACCTAAAATCACACAGGAAATAAAGAGCAGAGGCAGTTTCAAACCCAAGTCTCACTGATTCCGAAGTCCATATTCTTAACCACCAGCCTACATTGTTCAACCAGCAACAAATTATTCTATCAAGTAAAAATTTCTTTCGCAGTGGAAGATGACCATGAACCAATGTTTTTGTCAGTTCTAATAACAATCAGATATGTATTAAACCATACGTATGAGGGGCGCCTGGGTGGCTCAGTCGGTTAAGCATCTGACTCTTGGTTTCGGCTCAGGTCGTGATCTCAGGGTCGTGAGATCGAGCCCCACGTCAGGCTCCACGCTCAGCAGGGAGTCTGTTTGAGATTCTCTCTCCCCTTCTCCCTCTACCTCTCTGCCATTCTCTCTCCCTCTCCCCTCCCTCTCTCGCTCATAAATAAATAAATCTTTAAAAAAACAACAACAATAACAAAAAAGAACACCATACATACGAGACTCCGGGAAAAAACTGTGTGGCTGATCTCCACGAGGTTTTTCTGGCCGAGGTTCCAGAAGGACCATCTGACCATGGGCTGGCAGCCGGCTTCCCACAGGATCCAGCCTGACTGTACACTCCAGGCCGGCTGTCCTCTCATAATCAAATCTGAGCAGGTTCTTATCAATGGCTCTGGACAGGCCATAGAATTCAGACACCTCCAGGACATTGTTACTCCTACGGATGATGTTACAGTCGGGTTCCAGGAGATAGACCCGCAGGATAAAGGTTTCCGTGAAGGTATCTGTCTCAGTAAATCTGTGGAGAGAACAGAGCCAAGCAATGTTTACTAGCAGGTACTTCCGGTAGCTAATGACTGACCTTTACAAAATGCGCCTATGGAGTAGAGTTTGGATTTTGTTATATACTCTACTCCCAATCTCTGTTCTTTTTCTTTCTTCTCTTTATCTTGGTGTCAACTCCTTTTTCTGCCATCTCCCACGCCAATGAGCTTTCTTTAAACACCTTCTCTCAAACCCACCATCCATGCTGATATATAACGACAGCTGGGAGCTCAGAGTCTCCCTGCTAGCACATCTATAATTTAAGAGTACCAAGCTTGTGTAATTTATGGATTGAGTTTTGATCCAGGAGTGAAAGGGTGAGGAGTTTCTGAAGCAGCAACACCTTTTTGGTCTTCAGAAACCTATGAGAGACACTGTTAATTCCATTTTACAGAGGAGGAAACTGAGGTAGAGAGAGGCCAAGTAGCTCGCCAAAGGGGCTGAAGAGGAGGTGAGTGGGGGAATAAGCACGTTCTCTGACTTTCTGCCTCCAACGTCTCTGAATATTCTATTTCAAATGTCCTCAAGACCAAGAGGAACAGCAGCTCCTGTGACTTGGTCCTTCTCACCTGCTCCTCCACCCTCTCTGTCCCTTCGAAACTCAAGGAAGAACTGGGAGAAGCCAGAATCCGCCAGTTTTTCCAGCCCTTCCGGGCAAGCTGTCCAACGTTAGTTTTTTAACTCTAAAGTCTTAGAAAGATCAAACAGCCCTGTATGCTGGTGATAAAGAATCCTTGGGTACTATTTCATTTTTTGAGCACAGCATTTTGTTCAAGCCTCTCTTTCAGCACTTGTTCACATTACCATTATCTACCCGTATTTTGCATCAGATTAAGAGCACCAAAAATCCATGCATCCTCATCTGTGTTCCCTATGCCCAGCATAGGGCCTTGAGTTTTCGTAGGTGATTGTTAAGTGTCTATAGAACAATTCAATGTCCTAGTGTCTTCTATAAAACTCTTTGCAATAGTAGTATAGTACTTAAGGGAAATTCGCACTAAGATATTTTAGCCAAATATTCCTAACAGCAATAAAACCAAGTAAAAATCTATCTAAAAGCCTCCTCCAGGGGCGCCTGGGTGGCTCAGTCAGTTAAGCATCTGAAGGCAGATGCCTTTGGCTCAGGTCATGATCCCAGAGTCCTGGGATCGAGCCCCACGTCAGGCTCTCTGCTCAGCGGGGAGTTGGCTTCTCCCTCTCCCTCTGCCTAGAGCTCCACCTGCTTGTGCTATCAGATAAATAAATAAAATCTTAAAAAAAAAAAGCCTACTCTACCTACTGCATTGTCAGTTACCTCTATGAAGTGAGCAATACCATAACCATGAGCTTAATTTTTAAATTAATTTTTGAGACATAATTCACATACCATAAAAATCACCTTTTTAAAGTATACAACTCAGTGGTTTTTAGTATATTTACAAGGTTGTGCAACCATCACAACGACCTAATTCCAGAACAGTTTTATCCCCCCAAAAAGAAATCCATATCCATTAGCAATCACTCCCCGTTTGCCCTTCCCCCAGCCCCTGGCAATCACTAATCTGCTTTCTGTGTTTTATGCATTTGCCTTTTCTAGAAAAGTGACCTTTTGTGTCTGGTGTCTTTCATTTCACATGATGGTTTCAAGGTTCATCCATGTTGTAGCGTGCATCAGTACTTCATCCCATTTTATGGCTGAATGATACTCCATTGTATGGATACCCCACATTTTGTTCATACATTCATCAGTTGGGTTCTTTCAACTTTTTAGCTATTGTGAGTAATGCTGCAATGAAGATTTGTGTGCAAGTTTGGGAGGAAATACAGGTTTTTGTTTCTCTTACATATATATTTAGAATTGCTGGCTCACACAGTTACTCTGTACTTAACTTTATAATTGATTTTGTAAACATTTTTATCATTTAATATGTTTACAATTAGAAGATATTCGACCACTTATTAACTAAGCAGCTGATAATAAAGAATATCATTCAATTTTGGAATATATTTTCCTAGTTCTCATTAAGAATTTGTATTTTGTAATTTTCATTTCCCATTATAAGCGGGAAGGTGGATCACCAGAGATACCTCTATAAGAACTCTAAAGGGGAACAGGACAGAAATTTGCCACAGAAAAGCCCCCAGGACGGATGATACAAATAAAGATAATTGAAAGTAGACAACAATTCTTGCCTCACCTACTTAGGTCCCCAATTTCTACTGATTACTTGCTTGTTTGGAATCTAGCAACTAGCCTCATGCTAGTATCAATCTAGAGAGAAAGCCCTAAGAAGTACACAGAATGGTTATGCGTGCTGCTTACCTGTACAATCTAAGCTTCACTGTGTCTTCATCAAGAATCGGGCAACCATTGTGAATATACTTTACTTCATTGGGAAGGAAATGGCAGTCAAAGACCTAGTTCATGTGAAGAAATGGATAAATACATGTGAAAAAAATTGGTACAAGATTTGATTTTTCTGGCAATAGAGTACTGCCTGGGGAAATCATGGGCTGTTAGTGGGGTGTGTCTATGTATGCATGCGTGTGTGCGTGTGTGCATGTTATAACCACCACCACCTAGAGACACCACCTCCATGTCCGTTCCCATCCTGCTTACATAGGTGTGTCTTATTGTGAGAATATCTACACTATGAAAATCCAAGCAGATCAAGCAGATATATTAGGGAGTAATTACCTCTTGAAATGATTCTTTGTTTACAGTTTATAGTACATTTAAACGATGGTTCCATTTATCAAAATATAATACACCCACACCCTTCAGGGGTTCATAGCAACTGAGTTAGAGGTCTACCTGCGTGTACGCATGAAAAGGCATGCATTACCCCTCAACAAACACATTGTATTACTTATATTATGTATCTTTTTCTTTTCCTTTTATTTCTTTCTTTTCTAAATAGCATTTTTATATTCAAAAATGAAGCCACTGGCTATGGATACTGTTGTGGTTGATCAGAGCCAAACGTGACCCAGAGTTGCTTCTCATACACTTGCAAAAGACTGCTTTACTGGTTACTAATAGCAGAAATGGTTGATGAGCGGTGCTTGGGTGGTTAAGCATCTGGCTTCAGCCCAGGTCATGATCCCGGGGTCCTGGGATTGAGTCCCGCCTACGGCTCTCTGCTCAGTGGGGAGCCTGATTCTCCCTCTCCCCTTCTCCCTCCCTGCCCCCCCACTCATGCTCTCTCTAATAAATAAATAAAATCTTTAAAAAAAATGGTTGATGAGACAAATAGCAAGCTAAAGGTAATTTCTTCTATTCAAATAAAATTATAATTAACTGAATCACCTCACTCAGAACTATTAAGGAAATTGCTAACTGTTGTATTTTGGGAACCCTAATTCTCAAAAGAAGAATTTTCTCTCCCAGCCACACCACGATTCTCATTGTGCCCTACCTGACTTGGCAGAGTGTTAAGAAATACCCTTGAGGTATTGGCACACCGTCACTGTTGAGTTCATGGTGTGTGGCCTATACCTTGTCACAGGCTCAATCATTTACAGGCAACATCGTCCCCTTCAAGAAGACATTATTACTAATACAAACGATCTTCTTTTCCCACAGACATCATCGGTTCCTCTTTTTAATTGACAACAAGGAAGGAGATAAAGGAAAGACCTTCCCCATATCACTGACAAATAGTCATGGTGATAAAGAGACAATCTGCTTTGTTAAAAGAAACATCTGCTTTATGTTTCATAATATGTTTTCCTTTTATAAAAGGCGACAACCATAATTGTCCATAAATTTACTAACTAAAACAAAGGAGAGCTAAATCCTTTCCTAATTACTGTCTAGCCTTGGTTTTTTTCCACTTCAACTGCTTTTCAATTACATTTTATAATTAAATTGTCACACATTCCTAACTCATTACTCACTTTAATGACAGTAAGCTGGTTCAACCTAGAGATGTTTTCTTACGGCTGTATTTCTGATTCAAAAAAGCAAGCTCAGCTCTCAACTGAGGTGCTTTTCCACCCAGGAAATTTCTTGCTTTGAAACAGGTGTGAGAAGTGCTGTGTGTGAGGAAGCCTTGTCCTAAAACATGAGGAAAACATATTGCCACCGACCTTATCTAATTGACTATAACAAGAGGGTTATCTAAACAGAAGGTACTGGTGTGCGCCAAGTGAAATCCCTCTCCAAATATCCAATAGGAAAATGAACCTGTTGGTCCTAAGACAAACTTCAGTAATGAAATGAAAACACTAATTGAACAGATGTTAAACAAAACATTTTCTGTGCAAGTCAAATAAAACTGTTCATTACACAGCAGGGTGTTGTTAATACAGTCATCTTGCTAGAAATGGGTTCACATAAGCCTTGCTTCCAGCTTACTGGTAAGTGCTATTAAAGAATAATGTTTAGGCTTTGTGTGTATGCATGCACATTCGGCTATGTTTAACTTCAAAAACGCCATAAGAAATAAATCCTTGGGGAGGGTTGCATTAAAAATAGGCACACATTCCCCCGCACCAAAAAAAAAAAAAAAAAACAGACTTTACTTAGGAATCTGGTTTCTGTTGAAATTGTCATAACAAAGTAGAAAGATCATCTGGCAGTTTGAGAAAGTTTTCTGGGTACACAGACTTCCTTATGGTACAAATATCTGACAGAAAGATAATGAAACTCCACAGTTCAATGGCCTCCTTTTCCACACAATAAATTTTAGAAGATACAAGTCCCGTATTTACTTTAGACCGGATAAATCCATTTGAGCTGCCACACTGACCTCCAGAAATGCACTCACTGAACATTTTCTTGCACTAAAGTCACAGCACTCGAGGGGACAAGCTGGGACTTTTTGGCGCCCCCTCCGTGGCCTACCCATCCAGACTTCCCTAAACCAGGCAGGCATGCTGTTTCTGCTCCATATTCTTTCTATTAACTGGATTTTGGCCTTCAAATCAGAGAAAGTTTGGAATGGAGATCTCTTACAACTCTTGACCCCCAAATAAGTGTTTTACCTGATTGTAGTCACTTGGATCCCCTTTTGCTCTCTAGTATCTCAGAGCCAACCAGATGGCGAAGACCATTAAAACAGCACCAATAATACATAATGGAGACAATTTAGTTACTTGCAGAGAAAGCACTATAGATATGTTTATAAGTCACAGGCTATTTGGAATAAGGGAGAGGATACTCCTCAGAGGCTGACTTAAGGAACAGTACATTCTCCCCAAATTACTTTCTAAGGAGGGAGAATCTGGTGAAGAATAGGGCTTTTGTTTTGCATGCTTAGGGCCAGAGAGAGGTGATGTGAATAAGCTCAGCTGCAGAAAATGGAATCCTAACCATTGGGACTCGGTTTGTTAAAAGCAAATCCTTGGAGTTTTGGAGAGCAATAGAGGACCCACAGGTTGCCCCAGCATACACCACGAAGAATTTTTTTCTCTTCCCCCACAAAATATTCAGCCTCACTTCTAAATAAATGTTGAACAATTTTTTTAAATATATTGATTGGAAGGGGCACCAAATTATGAGTTCATTACTTTATAAGGCACCTACATATATCCATGCAGCCATGGACACCGGTGTTCTAGGATTAGGGTCCTCTATTGCTCTCCAAAACTCCAAGGATTTGCTTTTAACAAACCGAGTCTCTGTGGTTAGGATTCCATTTTCTGCAGCTGAGCTTATTCATATCACCTACTCGTTGCATTTAGTGCATCTGGGTTGCAGTTATGAGCTATCCCAGGTCTCTCCTCTTTCCAACCAAACACACTTTCACTGGGCACCTGGGTGGCTCAGTTGCTTAAGCATCTGACTTAGGCTCAGGTCACGATCTTGGGGTCCTGGGATGGACCCCAAGATCAGCAGGGAGTCTGCTTGTCCTTCCCCCTGCACGTGCTCTGTCTCTCAAACAAAATCTTAACACACCCACACCCCCACCCACACACACTTTTGCAGTGCAAATCGTGTTGGGAGCAAGTGTGAAGATGTTGCAATTCCCAAACACTTGGGAATACAACCCCTTAGGAATTGGGGCCATTATTGTATTCAGACAGTTGGCAGGTGCCCATCAGAAGCTCTGACTGACAAAAGAAAATCTCATGGGAAACTGGAGAGAGACATGTGGTTGCTAACACATCTGGAATACTCCCTAAGTGAGAGTTGTGATCTGTTTCGGAGTTGGACTGTCCTCTGAGTGCGGTAAGTGGAACAGTTTGCAATAGCCACTTGAGTTAGTATCTAAGTCTCCTGAAGTTCGTCTCTACATCGTCTAGTACTGCTGTTGAGGTAACCTCCTGGGATAAAATTCTTTGGCCAAATGGAGAAGAAACTTAATGTTCACAGTTCACAAATAATGGTGCATGTTTCCAGAAGCAGCACCAGCCAGTGCGGAACATTCTCAAAATTGCCTGCACTGGGAGGAAGTTAAACCACAGTAGGGACAAGTCATGAAACCAGAAGCAATTTCCTTATTATGTAGAGAGGTAAACCCCTACTTCAAGCAAATACAATACATGATAATACAGATTTTTTTTAACCCAATGACTTAGAAGGTAACTCTTCATCCTACAAAAGGATTGTGCCTAGAATACTCTTAAACGACGAGGTCTCCAAGATCTTGACTAAAGGAAAACATTTGTCTGCAGACATTTTTGAAGAACAATGAATATTTAAAGGGAAGTATTTTCACCTCTCTTTTCCACGTCTCTCCTCCCACTCAACGGAATATTCTAGTGATGGAAACAGATACAAATGTCTTCACATCTTACTTGTGCTATTCTGCGATCACAAGTGGGGCCTAAAACACATCTTGAAATCTGGTATCTTATCCAAAGGCACCCTGACTAGGAATGATGAGATGAGATCATCTGGGGCAAGAATAATCCCATAAAGACTGACCATATCACACCACACAGGAGATGGCCCACTCCAGCCCTTGGAAGTCTGTCCGTGCTTTGTTTCCTTCCTCTCTCTCTCTCTCTCTCTCTCTCTCTCTCTCACACACACACACACACACACACAGTCACTCACATTCATACACATGACTGAATAGAAAACTCGCAGGTAGGACCTACCTGTGGGGTGAGTTTCCCAACCCTTTGAGTCATTGGCTCGTTCATCACAACTTCCACTTTGCAAGCATCTTTTTCTTTGGGGATGGTAAACTTCAGGTCATCTCCCGACAGGTAGGCAGAGCTGCCCTTCAGCAGCCTGAGCCCACGGTTAAGGCTGATGAAGGTGGCACCGGCCCAGCCTAGGAGCAACAGCAGGGGCAAAGCACTGGGCCCACCCCAGGTCAGAGCGCTCATGCTGTCGGGGGCCAACTCCGTTTGTCCACCGGCGAAATCCCTTCAACAAAAGAGGGCTTCTGTGCTTCCTCCAGAGATGTTAGCTCATAGTCCAAGGGGCAGGGCAAGGGGTCCTGACAATGTGCCCCAAGATCTTAACATGTCCCTTTCATTTCAAACCCAGACAAGGAGGCTTTTCAGGCAATCCCAGGGCTTTTAATAAAACTCGCTGATCACTCCTGACAACGCCGGCAAGATGAATGTGCCTCCCAAGTGCTTTTCTAATCCTGCAAATGAGAGGAGAGGTTGTAGGAAAGCGAGAGAGACCAAAAGGTTTGTGTGGCTATTCAAAAAATCCCTGCTGGCAAAGGAATCTTTCAACCAGCCTATAATTTCAGCTAAATTAAAAACAAATAAACTAACTTGACCTCCAGGCCCATGTGAAAGGCAGAGAAGCCATTTCATTACCCTGCTTGTAACTCCTGCTTCCGGACTTAAGGCGCCCCTTGTGTCCCCACCCCCACCCCGTGGGGATGTCACTTGTGTGGTCCCACAGGAGCCGGCCAGCCTCACTGCCCAAGTGCAGCGCTTGGTCGCCTGCATTCAGAGGGCGTTGAGCTCTGCTCCCCTTTCCTCATCTGTTAAATGAGGACTGCCTAATTTGTAGAAGAGAGCTGACAGAATTATTTGCACGCTGGTTCAAACGCTGATTAATTCTAAATCATCACGACCCACATAAGAAACAAGCTTCGTCGTTTGTCCCGTGAGCACAGTTTTGACATTGCTGGACAATGAAGACACCTGAGAAGCACTTGAGCGGAAACTGGAGAACAGATATTTTTCTAAGTGAACGTTTGAGGGTTTTGCCTACATGTCAAAGGGACTAGGAATTAAGTCACATGACTTCACTAGACACAGCTAATGACTCGGCGTATGCATACATATTCGCATTATCTTTTTTTTTTTAGATCGTAACCAATTTTTTATTTTTTTCTAATTTTACTATGTTAGGTTAATCACCATACATTACATCATTAGTTGTTGATGTAGTGTTCCATGATTCATTGTTTGCGTATAACACCCAGCGCTTCATGCAGTACGTGCCGTCTTTAATACCCATCACCAGGCTAACCCATCCCCCCACGCCCTCCCTTCTAGAACCCTCTACGCCACCAATTACATTATAATGCACTGAATCTGCACAAATGGGGTCTTTGTTCCTCCTTTAACCACTTATAATTTCAAGATTATTTCTGTGTTCCATAACAACAGAAATGACTCTGCAAAATAAGATGTATTGCAATAAATACTTAAGTTCAGGGTATAGCTGGATGAACCAATGGTGGTTTGCTATGCCCATAGGAAGTCTTTACAGTTTCACGATTTCAACAAATTTCTGTATATAACCAATGGATACTCAAAATGTTTGACCAAAGGGTTTACACAAAAATTTATCCATATCTAATACATCAAGGGAAGACTCATTCTCTTGTCACTGTTTGAAACCATTCATTTCTTTTTTTATTGTTATGTTAATCACCATACATCATTAGTTTTTGATGTAGTGTTCCATGATTCATTGTTTGTGCATAACACCCAGTGCTCCACGCAGAACGTGCCCTCTTTAATACCCACCACCAGGCTAACCCATCCCCCCACCCGAAACCATTCATTTCTGAGGCAGTACACAACATGCGTCACCTGATATCTAAGGGGGGGGTGTGCACTTTACAGAGCAGTCCTTTTTTTTTTTTTTAATGGTGTCAGTCTCAAACTGAAACAGTTCCCACACTCCCACTGATGGTGTTGCCCACACTCCAGCTGAATTAGGTTGGCTTATTTGGGCAGAAATGCAAACCTGGTTGTTGAACCTTCACTACAAAGTCAAACCTGGTTTCCATTCACATTTGGCACCTAAGACCACTCCAAAAGAGCAGCACATTCAGAGAGAGGAGAGTGGCTAAGTGTTTTCCAAAATGGAGAGATAAGGGGAAAAACTTTGCTTTCTGAGAATTAAATCAACTTGTAAAGGCTGTAAGGACGGCACCCTCTAGTGCACCCCTTTTATCTATTACCTCCCTTCTCCTTTACTGCTTCTTCCTAGATCCCCTGACTTTTTAACGTGGGGAGCCTAGGGTGCAGTCCTTGGACCTGGTTTTTGTCTACCCTCATTCCCTAGTGATCTCATTCCTTGGCTTTAAATACCACTTATATGCTAATGAGTCCCAAATTTATATCTCTAACCTCCTCCCTTAACTCTGGATTCCATATGCCACTGTCTATGTGACATCTCCCTGGGGATATTTAATGGGCATCTCATTCTTCATGTCGCCAAATTTGTGCTCTGGGTCTTCCCTCCCTCCCTCTCTCCGATCTCAGTTAATGGCATCCAACTTTTCAGTTGTTCTCTCCTTTGCTCAGTGTTTGGTCTACAGCTAAACAACAGCAACAAAACCCTGTTTGTTCATTGCAGTGGACACACCTTAGGGTGACCTCCAATAATTGCTGCCCCACAGCATCCGGAAGTTCCCTCCCCTTGAGTGAGAGCAGAACCTGTGAGGGTTCCAACCAACAGAATAAGGCACAGGTGATGGTTCCCATGGTTACACTATGTAATATAAGAATCTCTCTTGGGAGGCTGGGGCTCCAGGCTCGCCTGCTGACCTTGAAGCAGGAAGCCTCCATGAGTTCCAGTGTCACAAGGAAATGAATTCTGCTGACAGCCTGAATGAGCTCGGAAGAAGATTCATCCTAAATCAAGCCTCCAGATAAGACCAGCATCCAGGGGCGCCTGGGTGGCTCAGTCATTAAGCGTCTGCCTTCGGCTCAGGTCATGATCTGGGAGTCCTGGGATCGAGCCCCGCATTGGGCTCCCTGCTCCACGGGAAGCCTGCTTCTCCCTCTCCCACTCCCCCTGCTTGTGTTCCCCCTCTCGCTGTCTCTCTCTGTCAAATAAATAAATAAAATCTTAAAAAAAAAAAAAAAAGACTAGCATCCAGCTGATGCCTTGATTGCAGCCTGAAGCAAGGAACCCAGGTAAGCTGTGACCAGATTCCCGACCAATGTCAACTGTGAGATAAGAAATTTGTGTTGTTTTAAGCCGCGAAGTCTGTAGTAATTTGCTTACACGGCAATATAAATTGAATGCACTCTTCTTCAAAACATATCCAGACTCCAACCACTTCTCACTTCCGTTGTTGTTACGAAGGTGCAAGCCACACCATCAACTCCTTGTTGGATGACTGCAAATAGCATTCACTTTGACTTCCCTTCTCCTCTTGCCTCCCCTGTAGGCATTCTTCAGCATGGCAGCCAAGGGTCCTATTAAATATTACTGAGGTCACTTCCGCGCCCCAAACCTCCAACGGCCTCTCATCTTAGTGTAAAAGCCATAAGGCAACCATGTATGTAATGTGTGTCTCCCTTACTTCTCTCATCTCCTCTTCTGTTTGCCCTCCCTTCATTCCTCTGCTCTAGCCCCACTAGCATCTCTGCCTTCCCTCATACATATCAAGATTAACCTTCTCCTCTTGCTCCCATCCCGAACCTTCCCACTTGCTCTTCCCTCTGGCACATTCTTCCCTCAGATATCCTTCTTCCCACCTCACTGGCTGCCAGTTTTCCATCACATGTCACATGTGCAGTGTACCACACCTAACCACCCCCTTAAAACTATGACACTCTCATCTCCAGCACCGTTTTCTGCTTTGTTTTCAACCTTAGCCCTTATGACCATCTAAAAATACATTTGCTTGTTTGTATTGTTTGTGACCATCTCCCTCACAGAGGTGAGAATTTTTATCTTTTTTATTCATGGCTTTATCTCTATGATTCCCTCCATCTTGTTGCCCAGGACCACACCAGAGGCTGGCAGAGCTGTGACCTAGAAGGAGCCTAGAAGGGACATGTGCAAAGTGGAGTCACCCTCCCAGCCCATCCTTCCAGAATTTTATGTGGCAGAGGATATAAACTTCTTTCTTGTTGAACCCACTGTTATTGGGGTTTATTTTGGTACTCATGACTGAACTGTAACTACAGTTTTAATCATCACCTTATTCAAGTTTTTCTATTAATTTAATTCAGTCACTAATGAGCTAAATAGTGTACCTTCTTACCTAATAGCATATGGGGCAATAGCTCATGCTCTAATCATAGTAAGTTCTTAATTACCAGATAAGTACACAGACCAAGATCCTAAGGTTTATCCACAAGGAAGAGATGAGAGAGAAAGAGGAGGAAATCTATTTCTGTGGCCCCCTGAGCCGCAATGATGTGGAAAGAGTGGACCTGAATTCTGAAAATCTAGATTTGACTCGATTCTTATGAACGTTGGTTTCCTCTTTTAAAAAGCAGACCTATCCATCCTCCCGCTCCCAGTTTCCCTGTAAGACCAAAAGAAATAATGCATGTGGAAATATTCTGATTATAAAGCCCCATACAAATGTAGCATAATTATTACAAAATACATCAAAGGAATAAGAGAAAAGCTTGTCTTGAGAAAAATAGAATGGCAGGACACAGGCCTTGGTGAAGGCAGCAGAATCGGGTTCAGTACAAGTCAAACAGAGTATGTTCTATTTACATTTTCCTCTACTCTTTCTTCCTCATGATCTTAAGACAGGCTGTAGTAGTAAAGACTGAATTCCAGTATTTCCAAAACAACCTGAAGCAACACAAATGGGAGGAAAGGAAGGGTACAAGAGGAACAATTTCCAAACTCAAAACCAAACATCCTTCAATCAGTGGGGCCTGGGTGAAGTGTGCAAAATTAGGCTCCACGAAGATCCAAAAGAATATGTTGTATTTATGTTCTATTTATATTCAAATTTTGCTCTTGTATTTTTCCCTTGGTGTTGAGAAACACCAAGTTTGTGGGCATTCCATGGAAAATATTGCTCTGATTTTTCATTTGAAGAAGGTAGCAGGGGAGAGGAGAGAGGAAAGGGTTTGGATGAACAGATGGGGAAGAAAAGAGCAAACAAATGAACAGAACAATAGCCAAGGAAATCAGGGCTCTGAAT